GCATTAGCTCTCTATTATCTTATTGATAATATATATATATATATATATATATATATATATATATATATATATATATTTCTTTCAATAATTTAGGAAACATACATACGAACCAAGCAAGAACAATTTTAGAGGTATCACCAAATGCTAATACATTATTTAATGATCGTTAGTAGATCGATGTCAACGGTCATGCATATTGGTTTTGTAGAACGACTTGTGTGCGTTTGTTGCGGTAAAGAAATGTGCTCACGCACCTTGACTCGGTCAATGTTCGTAATTTCTGAGCAATCAAGGCTACGCGTATGCATATCTGAACTTATTGTGTCTACATCAGATATAGACAATGGTTAATTACGGTTTAGAGATATCAATTATTGCGTCGATCGATATGATTTTTAGAACAGCGTTGAAGTTGGTTAAGAGTGATGTTATGTAATTATAAATATTAATGGAAACTTCTTTGAAACATAGTTTTATATTTCAGTTACTAAGTCAATTTTAATATGCGTTTTTATATAAGCGTCATTACCACAGCAAGTATAAATTTAGTTTGTTTTTTTGTTTACACTAAACCGAAATACAATTTAATTTTAATTTCAAACATGACAAGCTGTCTAATATACTTATTTTACACAACAAATACAAGTATCTTGTTTAACAATTTTATTTCGTCAAGTGGTTTATTTATATTTAGGGCAAAAAGATTATATATAAATAATAAAATACATCAATAAATTCACCAACAAATGAGGATGTATACAACTGGATTCATTTGAATTATGAACCAGAAAAACTATTGGATTTTGAGTAATTTCAAATTAAATCACGGTTTTGATAACATTTAAGGAGTAAACCAGTTAGTAACAAAAATATAAAATATGCAATAATTGCAAAATATTATTATAATAAATTTCATGTCAGTAAAAATAACACTAAGGATATAATTTTTTTTTATTTTGCAATTTTTTAGGTGACAAATATTTGTTATTAAAATGAAACTATGAGGTCGTCATATAAGACATGTAAAAGCATATAGAGATAATAAAGAGTTGTACGAAAAATCAAGATGGAACAAGTACAGTAAAAGCAAACAAATTTAATTAGTCATCAATACAGTTAGTATTGTTTCAGATTCGTTTGTACGGGCGTAAGCGACGAGTGATATCTGCAAGTATAACTTTTGTACGACCAGCGATCGTTGTCTTCGAGCAGCGTTTTGTCCGCATAGGTGCACTGGACGGCAACTGGGATCGTGAAGTCACCCCTCGGGATGGCCTGGAATTTTGAGACCATCATTATTTCTGTTCAAGTTCTTTTCACAACATAATAAATACAACAAAAGCGTACAAATTTATCATCATTGGGGCTGTGTATATTAGACACGGCATTGTCGATTTAGAAGTAGCAACTGGAATGAACTCGTAGTGCCGTGTCACCCAAAAAACTTACGCCATGTAATAAAAACACGGCATATAAAGCACTACAAGAATTAGTAAAGACAAAAATCATAGATATTTCATTGAATTAAGTAAAATTAATCTACTTAAGTGAAAACCAATTTATACTTTGTCTAACAACCATAGTCGATTGATCTGAATTTGAATGATTGTAATGTTTTTATAAAACGAGGTGCAAGCGCTAATTAGGTGCAGTCAGGCGAAGGTGTGCATGTGCGCGCCTTGGCTATTTGACTTTGTTTTAGTTTCAAGGTACGTTGCACTGTTACAATTATGTCAGAGTCGATTAATTTTATTGGCATTTGACATACGACAAAGTGGTATTCAGAATTGTGAACACGTTTTCACGAATTCGCTCTGTGACGCACAGAATGAGAGCAGAAATGAAGTCAAATAAAACAACTATAGGGTTTATTGCAGTTTACTTTAAAGCGTTCATGATCACGGCAGACTATATGCATCACGAAATGCCAGGAATTTCAAATTAAAATAAAAAGATAGAATCCGTAAGAAAAAAATATTAATTTATGTGTAGTTTTTGCATAAAGTAACGGTTGTAACGACATTGTCCATAGGCTTTAAATAATCTAATCTAAGGATTAATTTTTTGGGGCTGGCCTCTGCACTCAAGAAATTTAAGTGTCGATTTTTGTAGATAAATTAACAAAAACTTACAGGATTCCAAAACTGTGTCTTCTGGGCTCGAAATCAGATCATTTGATTTTGGTTGTGATGTCCCAATTCATTGTTACGAATTCAGTGAATACGAATCGTATATGTTGCTGTGGTCAATTAGTTAGGGTATGCAGTCGTATTTTGATTAAGTCTATAAGGTGAAAACCTAATTTATTGGCTATAGTTCCTTCTACTATTCTACTGTTGCACTTTAGATTTACACATCGGTGTTCAGAGGGCGAGAGTGATATAAGAGAATAGCTAAATAGCTGCAGAACTACACCATGCCGAGCAAGGCTTGTATCATAGCAAGTTCTAAATCTAACACCTGCGTTATTTATAAGTTTTTTGACCTATTACAGTTATACACATAGTTGTTTTATCCTGTTGATGGACGTTGACGAGTCGCGGTCAAAGCCATTTGCGGTGGAACGTACCTTGTGGTAAGGGTCTAAAAAACTCATTCTGTGTCGTGAACATGAACGCCGGAAATAGTTCGAAACGTTGGGAATTATAAATCAAGTAGTAAAATCCGTAAAAAAGTGTAATTTAATCATGCCTAATATTCGGGTAAAACAAGAAATCAATAAACCATATTATGAATATTTTGTTATTTTGCGGTATACTTCGGATAAAGTTGTAAAACATTAAACAATACTAATATTGTGTTATTGTTGTAAGTGTTTTATTACATCTATGTGTGTACTGAGAAATTAAGGCAATTAAAACAAATAGTAGCATGAAGTAACCTTAGTCAGATTTTTCATACAGTACTAAATCAAAAAAGAATTTTTGCTAAGCGGGTAATTTATACGTCAAATGCCTTGTAATTTAATTGCGTTAGGCATGAGATCATAAATATTATGTTATGCCATGTTTAACAAAAAATGTAAATTACGAATGACCTAGCTAAAATACAATTATGTTGCTGAATCAAAGTTTAAGAATGTTAATGTTCCAAATTTTTACCTAGAGCCTATCTTTAATTATTTTGTAAGACACGCACAACAAGGTAAATGTACTTTGATGTAATTATTGCACTTTTGTGTAAAGTATATTAAAAGAAAACAATGTATTTTGTAATTGAATAGGTCTATTCATATATATTAGTCGTTTTAAATATTTTTATTTATTCATTTTTATTTATTGAAACGAAAAATCTGCGATGTGAACACTACCGAGAGAGTGTTGTTAATGATTGTAGGTCTTTGAGGTAGGAATAGGTTCTTTTTTGAAAGCCCCCTTATTGGTATAGGTCCAGAAAACCACTGATGATAACTGGTGGTAACGTTTCTTCATAAGGCTAAAGGTGAGGTGATTGGAGAGAACCTGGCCGATACCGTGTCGTAGCTCTAAATTGTATGCGACCAAAGGAAAGTATTATTGGAGAGACCCAGTTCAGAGATGATAACAATTGATTGATCATTGCTCAATATGTCCACGTCAAGAATTCCGATTGAGCCTTTGAGGTAACAAGGAGAGTGATGTTACCACTTTTCTTGTTACCTAAAAGATAAGGTAGGATAAAGTCATTAACATGCTAAAGAAACAGAATTACAGCATTTGATGTAACGTTAACGATCGATTTGATGTTAAATACGTGAAGATCTTGTAATCCAATTGCAAAAAGCATAAAGTGATATTGGAAAGTGTTTTGCGCCAAATCTGATCGAAGGATTATATATATCTATATCGAAGGGTATATCTAACCGTACTGCCAATGCGTCCTCCTTACCCTGAAAAACATCTGTTTATCTATGATTTCGGAATAGTAGAAGATCACCGCCTGATTGGATCCGAAACCATATTGACTATCACTAGTTACGTGGTGCTCCTCAAGGTACTGACAGTTAATAATGGGCTCCATTATTTTAGAGAACAAAGAGGTGATGGCAATAGGCCGGGTACGCATTTAAAGCATTAAATTTTTTAGGGGTCGGGTCCATTAAAGACAAAAGTCCATAATTCCATAATTATACTAACAAAATGTAATTATGCAAGAAAGAAAATACATTTATTTACTAAAAAACAGGACGCACGTATAAAAAATAAAAATGGCTAAAAGTTTCGTTTATATTATTATCGAATTATTAAAATTTACATCATAACTTTATACTTAGATCTACCGTAGACATCGCTTGGCAAGACATTAAGTTATTTTTATCGGATTCCATCGTGCAAAAAGCGATACTTTCATCAATTATCGCTTAAAAATAATAAGCCGTCGCGACAGCGCGGTAGAATCAAAGCTTTGACGAATAAAATGCCAAATTTAATATGAGTTTAAAATGGGCGTGAGACAAGCGATTATGTTACGATAGTAACGAGACAACTGATTTGGGTAAGAAAGAGTTCTTAGTAATACGGGAGCTATAGTTACTGATAGACGCGCTTTGTCACCTTACTTCCGATTTGATGATTTTGCTATTTAGTTACATAGCCATGCCTTTATTTGATATCTTGATTTATCTTAGTGTAACGTGTGTATGTTATTTTTCCCAAGTTACTTAGAATAAAATTTATACGAAATTCTTGCTCGAACAAATTGATGTTATTGCAATTGTATTGTGTTCTGTGTTTATCCTAAATAAAATAAAATATGTATGACACAAGCAAAAGGATTAGCGGGTGATCCGATTTTTAAACATTTTATATAACTACGAAAGTTCGCAATATCGGTATAAAAAGTATGTTTTTTCACTTTATATTATCGATAAATGGTTAATTTCGCAAATTTTAAACACTTTAACTGGATTATACCATCTTTATTTCTATTTACAGCATTGACAATAATGATAGTGTAAAAAGGTATGCTCTATATATACATGGAAAATAAATTAGAAATGTTGCATTGCAGTTTCAAATTTAATAATGATTGTAGCCATGAGCCGGTGCAGGGTGGACGGCCGGTGCAGAGTTGTGTACCACGGCGTTGAAACTGAAACAACAAAAAATATAATTTTAATGATAATGTACAAAAAATGTGTAAAAATTACCGTAGAGTGAATCTATTCCAAAGATAAATTAAATCATTAATTCCACCGAAAATATTTGATATTCGATATATTCCACAGATTTGTAAAAATGAAACAACATCAAAGCTGAATTTTTATGTCGATTTAAATTTGAAACATCACTTAAAATACACTTCTTTTTGTTTACTCTTTTCATAACAGCGACCAATTTTCCAATTATTGAATTCCAGTTAAATTTTAAACTTAAACTTGTGATATAAGCATCGAATATTACCCAGTGTGATCATCGGCACTGTAGTCAACGGTGCGGACGGAGCCATCGGGTTGAAGAAGGGTGTAAGATCCGTGTACGGCGTCACCATCGCGGATCTCGTGCTGAGACTTGTGGTCGCCGGTGTGGGGATCCGCCACCGAGTACGAGTAGTCGTATTTCGGGTGAGCCTGAAAAGCAAAACATCATTCACGTTCAGCAATTGATGATCGTATGATCTATTTTCGGTTTCCGCGGAATGTTTACAAAGAATGCTTACGTAGTAGTCGTGTCCGCCGTAATATGCCGTAGGGGCAGCATAATGGGCAGCTGGCGCGTATTCCACTGCGTGGGCTAGGGGAGCCACGGAGTATCCAATAGGGGCCACGCCATAACCAGAATCGTGTCTCACTATGCTCTGCGAGGACACGGCAGCACCATGTCCGTGGAGTAGGCCAGCGTTGGCGGCCGCGCACAAGGCGCCGAAAGCTACGATCTGCGGATAATGTAATGATTCTTACATTATAATAACATAGCATTTATAATTTTCATACAATATTCACACAGCAGTTTTTGCAATTGCACGAATGGATACGATAGTGAACCAGGGCATAACAGATTTGGCAGGTATTCGTCTGATTATTTAGATAACCGGAGCTCAATTCTCTAAAAGTTGATAACTCATCTGCTAAAAGAGATGTACATGTTTATAGGCGGCGGTAATCTGACGTTAAGAGATTAGATACTTGCTCACTTACCAATTTCTCACATAAAAATAATATGAAAATATCTTACGAACAAATGATAATTATTTCGGAAGACTTACTTTGCTGAACATTTTGTGTGTTTGGCTTAGCTAACAAGAGTAGATTGATGTCAACGGTCCGACATAAAGGCTTTATACAAGTCGGGTGGCGACGCACGCTTTGAATGGGGTGGGGTGGGACATGTACTTAAGTACCTTGACTGTGTAACGCTGACATATCTTCAAGGTCACTCTGTGGCTAAACTCAAATAATAAAAATAAATTGAAAAATTTTAATAAAAATCTTGATTAATTAATACTAAAATTGTTTTTTTTTGTATTTTTATCATAAAATGTGTGTGATGTACGCACGTAAGAAGTTATACAAAGGTTAACAAAAGAAAGTAATTTAAAAATTTTGTGCCCCTGTGCCAGTGCCCTATGTAACAATTTCATGTAGAGTATTATCATACATTCGTCGCAGATGAAGACAGACATTAATTATTTCATTAAATAATTTTTTAAACATTGCCCTTACTTTAGAAAAAACCTACCAAGTAACCAACCTAATATTTATGCACATGGACTGACGCCAACAAATTACATCCTTCTATATGTTCAAATGGTGAGACGGACCTCTTAGTTACGTTGTGCATAAAATTTACCCGTTGTTAATTTAAAATTTTCTCGTCTCGTAACATCATCGACTCGATAGTCATGAAGAATCTAAAGTACGCCCCGCATAAGTTTTCGTGATTGCATCTTATTTAGACGAGCAGTTAATGTTATATTTTAATTTACAACATTATGTACTATTTGTTCCACAACGAACGGATTAACAAAACTAAGCTACATTAACTTTTATTCTATCAGAATGTATAAAATTTAACAACAACACTAAAATAATATGTATTTTTAGATAGTTATGGTCAAATAATTTGAGTTTGTTGCGCCTTATCGACGGTTAAATTTAAAGAACGATTATAAAAATTTTAAGGTCACTGTACGTTTTATAAGAAAATATATTTAGATTGTCCTTAATACCCATTTACATATAAGATAAGCAAGTTATAATGTATTATAAAGTGGGAAGGTTTTTTTCTTTTTTGTCTCTCTTTTTTTTTGAGTGTTTATTCAACATCTTTAATAATCTTATTAACTGTGAGCTTGTTACTGCCTAAAATGTACTCACTGTACATTCGGGGTAAACTAGTAACTGATTAATCTTATATCTTAAATCAAATTCATAGACGTGAATAAATCTACGACTTGATAGACGTTACCTATAATAATAAGTCTTTAATATAATATTATAGGTAAGTAGTATTGCTATTCTAGTAAATTAAAGATTATAAGAGACATCGAATGAAACGAAAAAATATGAAACTAATTTATATCTTAATCCATACATAGATTAAAAGAGAATCCAAATTATCACTTTGCCAATTTCCTAAAGGTGCCGCAAAATTTTTGTGCGGTCAATTTCCATTCTTGTCAGTCACCTAGAAACGGACTCATTTCCACCAATGCTTTTACAGTATTTAGAGCACTATTTTAACAGGCGTTTTGAATTTTCTACGTATTTGATTTTGTTATGCAAACTGAAAAGACCGAGAATTTTCAAAAACCCCTCGAAAATATTGCGTGATGCCTGTGTAGTATTATTATAAATGATGTCACTGTTTTCAGATTTCCGCGCTGGTTACTATGGTTGGCTGAGATATCAGATCTTAAATCACAGGTCTATATCTCTTAAATCTCAGATCTTATATCTCACCTAGCTCAACCAGTATAAATAATTTTTAAATATATTTAAATATATCATTTTTCTCCTTACTATTAACTCCGAGTTACAGATAAAATGCAATTTTGCAGTTGCCTTTCGATGCAGATCAAGAAATAACTAAGAGTGCGATTTTTCTTTGGCATTTATGCATAGAATTATTTTTATTCACAAATTATTTTTAATTTTTATTTTTAATTTTAAGACAACATTTTCTTATTAAAACTGAGTCAATAATCTCGGTATATTTACTGACTTACTTTTTTCATTGGACAATTTAGTAGATTTTGAAACACCAAAATTGTGTGTGAGAAAATGTGTGGCAAAAATACGATGATGAAATTTTGACCAATATATATATATATATGTATATATACTATTTCATATAAGAATATAGCGGATGATAATTATGTCTGAAGTGTCTTTTAGATATTATTCATAACAGTTGAAAGATATTTGTTTAGAAATAATATATGTTTTAATATTTCTTTAGGTTTATTTACATTTTCACAATCACAGTTTATTCGTATAAATAAATTATTCAGGGCCCTATTCACATGTTAGAAAAACTTAATAGTGAGAATAACCATGAGAGGGGGCGGGATGTGCTGCTGGAGCGGAATTATGTACCACAGCGTTGAACCTGAAACAAACAAAACGTAATATTATATAAGAATATAAATAATGTATATAGTAAAAATATATAAAACAATATTATATGTTTTTTCATTAATTTTACCCAGTGTGGTCGTTGGCACTGTAGTCGACAGTACGGACGGAGCCATCGGGCTGTAGGAGGGTGTATGATCCATGTACTGCGTCACCATCGCGGATCTCGTGCTGGGACTTGTGGTCCCCGGTGTGGGGGTCCGCCACGGAGTAAGAGTAGTCGTATTTGGGATGAGCCTGAAAAAGTGGCAAAATGGTTTTTCGATGTTTTTCGTTTATATTTACACTTTATATAATGGATGTGGGCTTTACAAATTTGGGGGTACATACATAATAATCATGGCCTGCGGAGTATGCAACAGGGGCAGCGTAGTGCGCTGCTGGGGCGGCGTATTGTACGGAGTGGGCTAGGGGTGCTGCGGCGTCGGCTAGTGGAGCCGCGGCGTAGGCGATAGGGGCTGCACCGTATCCAGAATCGTGGCGAACTATGCTCTGAGAGGACACAGCGGCGCCATGTCCGTGGAGGAGGCCAGCATTGGCGGCCGCTACAAGAGCACCGAAAGCTAAGATCTGGAAATGAATGATCTTATTCAGTCAATAAAGATCGAAAACATAAAATAAAACTTTATAAAATCTTAGTCATTTATTTCAAACAGTATTTAGATTAGATTTACACAGATATGAGACTCACTTTGCTGAACATTTTGTATGTATAGTTTAACCGCTGAGATTTGATTGATGTCAACGTTCGAGATTAATGGTTTTATACAAGCCGGATGGCGGAATAGGCTTTAGAGGGGTGGGGCGGAGAAATGTACGCAAGCACCTTGACCGTGTAACACATGTGGACTCTAAGGTCGCATTCTTGTTTAAAAAATTGTCTATTATAGTAAAAAACTTTGCGAGAAAGAAATAAATCTTTTGAATGTGAATTAATTAATATAAACATATTTATTGTATTATTTGTATTTGCATCTGTAGAGGAGATAAAGTACGATGAATTTCACTAAAAAAGTGTTATTTGCCTTTTATAAGAAATACTAGATGTTGCTATCTGCGTGATTTGCTCGCATATAGGAATTAAAAAAAACTATACTGATTCAAAAACTAAATATAAAATCGCCAAACGGTGAGGCAATTTTATTATTTTACTCTTTTATAACTATATTTCATGAACTATGAAAGTGGATCCGTTTTGTTTGTTTTTATTAGAGCTCGCCAACCGTAAGTTCTTCATTTTACTTTTCTTTAAGATCTGGCGTATATATAATATTCACTCATTTCGTAACTAGGAAATGAAAGTGCATAATGAAATTACAAATGATTAGTAATATTCTGAAAAATAGTCATGATTATACATTCACATTAAGAGTACATATACAGAAACTTGAAAAGATAAAATATTTAAAAAAGTTTAAATTTTAATTGTTAAGAGTATATAAAGTTATCATGAATTATCACGCTTTTACTTGAAAAATGAGGTGTTCATAAATCACACTTAGGAATAGAAATAAAAGTATGTGCAGTAGCATTGGAAGCAAAAAGTTTAAATAACAAAAATTGAGTACATTCAAAGGACTAAATATCAATACCTTAGAAATACGTATATCCGCTTTCACGGCAAAAAGCCGAGTAATGTCGGACTTACACCGTAAGGGTAAGGTGAGCTGGAACCAGAACCAGAAATTGCTTTTCATTCTACTCGGTTCTTTTGCACGGGCTTCGGGCTTCCCCGAGTACATTGCGCACTATTCCAGGCAGCCAGGATAGCCAGTGGCAAGGTCTTACCGTGGCCCTACTGATATTTGCCTTAGTTGGAAAATCGTAGCGGTTATAATAAGTGCGAGTCGGATACAGCCAAACGTTGCCCAGGCGAGGGTAGGTTTTTGTGGGCAACCTATACACGTAAACAAAAACACTTCTCACCTCTGCCACTTCTTCCGTAAGGCGATGCAGCTCTGCTGAGTCGCTAAGCATCGGTAGAGAGTTGGTATGCAATACCAATGGTACATACGAAAAAACGGATTATCCACATAAGAAAGAACGTGACCCAGGTGCAATGGATTGATTTCAAAACTTTCAGGACTATCATTTTTTGGCCTCCTTAAGAATGATACTAACTTGTTGCTGGGTTCAGCTGTAGATTTAAAACTAAAGCTGACGAGCGAGGGGGCAGCATTTTCCTGTACCATGGAAGGCAGCAATAGATAGCAGTCCACGATAGCACCTTTTGCAGAGTCTAGTTGGCGCATAGGTCATAGGGATGAGATTTCACCGTTAGCTTCCTTCACCAACATGTAGCACAGATACCTACTGAAAGAACTGTCCCCGACGACGCATTGTTTCTAGTAATAGCTGAGGGAGACATGTGACCTGTCCATCTACGTAGATGTTGTCAGCATGGGACAATATGGCTTCCACAGTTCTTTGGCCGGCATTGAGTACTCTAGCGTATGCTCTTGCGCCAAGTTGTTTTTAAGCGTAGTTCATCGCTGCAACCCGCTGATTTTCTGGGACTAGCGTTTTGCCTCAGACTTTTGTAACTTCTTACCAGAAGTGAACTTACGTGAAGATCTCACTCAGCTTCTAGGTTCCGGGGCTGGGAGCGAGACAATGAAAACAGACGCAAAAGTCCTAGTTTAGGATAAGGCCGAGATGCTTTTCAGTAAGTAACCACAAACGTAATCGCTATTTCAACATCGCTAACAAACAACGGCGTAACAAGTAGGTCCCGATGATGGAGCCCAAATAAGGCCCCCCGTATTTAAGGCATTACGATGCCAATAGGTACCGCCAGATTGCCCCTTTCCGGAAACTACTTCCATTATGACATAAGATTGAAAATACTCTCAGACTCTGAAAAGTGTTCAATATATCGAGAGTTGAAATCGTAATTAAACGCGAACAAATCCGTTACATATTTTAAGCCGCGTTCATGCGTTATTGTGGTTAAAAATATTTTTTTAAATTACGAAAAGATTACCAAAATACCGAATTATAGCAAAAAATAGTCACTATCTCACAGTGGTAGGGCCACAGAACAGCCTCGGTTGCACGAATGGGCAGGCTCGTCCGGGTAAGTACCAGGACCTCACAGAAGAGTGGCGTAAGTGGAAGTATTATACTTTCGCGTTTCGTCTGGTGAGTGAGGTGGCCGGAGCCCAATTTTTAAAAGGTTGTCAACGTATCTGGAACCCTTCGGGTGTAGCAGATGTCCATGGGCGGCGGCATTCACTTAACATCAGGTGAACCATCTGCTCGCTTGGCAACTTTTACATAAAAAAAAACTGTCGATCTAAAGTCAGATTCAGAGGTGCCGAAAGAGATATGCGGAGTACGTGAAACTGTTTTACGATCAGTCATGTTTTTAGGCTTATAAAAGGTCATCCGCCAAAGAATGTTGGACATAGGGGTGAAAATGTAAGTATGACCTTAATCAGGTTGTTCAGTTAATTTACATTATAACTAAGAGTGATTATATGCTTTACAGCTTTTTATTGTATTAATGTAAATATTTCATTCGTAGCTAATCAATACATTGTTCTTTGGATACTAAATCACCGATAAACATACTTAATTATTACTTAAAACTTACTTATCTTGCTATTACTATTAATTTGATTGGTTGGACCCTTTTATCATATTTTTTATGATCAGTGTGCTTTCAATCTCTTCTTATCCTTTATTCAGGAACAAATTTCGCCTCGCTCAAATTCCCAGAAAAAATCCTATCCTTGCAGCAAACGTTTGCTTTACCTTAAGTTTTGCATTGGAGGTGATCTATAACACATTGATAACAGAACTCCGAGCCGACGAAACCAACTGTCTTCTCCACTGAAATTTGTGTTTCCTTATTTCTAAAAAAAAATCGTAAAATTTGACGAATTTTACGATTTCATAAGAGCGCACAAGCGTCTTTTTAAATAAATACATTTATGTTTTTTTTTTATTTTATAGTTCCTTTAAAATTCAATAATTGGTTTTATTAAAATGTGTATATAATATGCGGGTAGAGAAACCATACTATGATTTTTTAGCCGAAACATAATTATGTATTCAGTGCTAAAAGTCTGTCGTAGACAGGAAAAACCTTTACAATCAGTTTATAGCAGTTTTTTTATCTGTTTTCTTCCAAAATAGTTCTATCTGTATTTCAGTGATTATAACATGTGGGTGTTATGCGAAATATGTGGGTTTAAAAGAGACGTTATTTAAAGGATGAAACGTGTTGAGATTTTAGGATTTAGAATAGTTAAAAAATCTAGAAGAAGAGATATACCTATTGCCGTTTTCCAAGGGACAATTAGTTTTACCCAAGGTAATTTAAAGTACTCAAGCATTATGTTTGAAAAAAACATTGTGCGTTTATTCCACAATAGATGTAAAAATTATAAATAAATTAATCACAAAAATATTGTACGCATTTCTCCTGTTTAATGGTGGTAGCCGTGTGCGGGTGCAGGATGGACTGCTCGTGCCGAGTTATGGACGACTGCGTTGAAACTGTAAAGACACAAGCATTAGTTTTATTGTCAAATAATTCGTGTGTATGTTGCTAGGCTCTCAATCCCTTTATATTTATCTTTTATTATAACTCTAAGTATTTATAACTCTGATGTGTTTTTTATGAGAATAAATTATTTAAACCTAAACCTATGTGAAAGGCAGAGGTGTTTAAAAGAAAGGGTTATTTAAAAGCTCCTTAAAGATCATTTTACCCGGTGTGGTCATTGGCGCTGTAGTCAACAGTGCGGACGGAGCCGTCGGGCTGTAGGAGGGTGTATGATCCATGCACTGCGTCACCATCGCGGATCTCGTGCTGGGACTTGTGGTCGCCAGTGTGAGGGTCCGCCACGGAGTAAGAGTAGTCGTATTTGGGGTGAGCCTGAAAAAATGGCAAAATGGTTTTTCCCATTTTATCGTTTTCATTTAAACTTTATCTAATGGGCTATATAAATTACGGGTACATACATAATAATCATGGCCTGCGGAGTATGCAGCAGGGGCAGCATAGTGCGCAGCTGGGGCGGCGTATTGTACGGAGTGGGCTAGGGGTGCCGCGGCGTGGGCTAGGGGAGCCGCGGCGTAGGCGATAGGGGCTGCACCGTATCCAGAATCGTGGCGAACTATGCTCTGAGAGGACACAGCGGCGCCATGTCCGTGGAGGAGGCCAGCGTTGGCGGCCGCTATCAGGGCACCGAAAGCTAAGATCTGGAAGTGAATATTCAATCAATCATTGCATAAATATTTAATCACTCCTTTTTATTATAAAGGTTTAAATAAAATGGAGATAATTTGAAACGCTATTTAGATCAGAGCTACAAAGCTTTGAGACTCACTTTGCTGAACATTTTGTGTGTATAGTTAAGCTACGGAGAGTTGATTGATGTCAACGATTGAGTGTAATGGTTTTATACAAGCCGGACAGTGCTCCTGTATTTGGGTGGGGCGGAGAAATGTGCGCAATCACCTTGACTCTGTAACACTTCCATGCTTCAAGGCTGCTTTGTCGATTCCAAAATTGTTTATTAGAATTTATTATAACATGCATTGGCAATTTCCTTTTGTATATATGTATCAGATACGCGTATCAAGATATATGATAAGCTTAGTAAAAGTAAAACTTTTAGGTACTGATATGTTTAATATTTATAGGTTTCTAATGCATGATTCAGTTTTGGATAAAATAAAACTATAAAATAGGACAAAAATTATATTCGTTTTTTCTTGTAATATCGTTTATTAATGAACCTTAAAATATATAAATTGTCTCATTAAATCTATCCCTTTCGTGACATATTTGTATTCACAACTCTGCTGGTCACGGTAAATTACCTTTGTTTGAAAGTATCGCATGTCTGTTATCATAACTGTATCAGTAGTAAAATACGAGCTTTAAACTCAAAAGCACATTCTTCCTTTTCGGCAGGTCAAAGATATTGCAAAAAATTATTATAGCATCTCTCTCTGGAAGTTAATATAATATTAAAAAGCAATGCCGTGCATACAGCTTGCATTAAATTTGGAGGGCATTACATATTTTTTATTATTGTAATTTGAATTTGATTAGGGCAATTACTAACATATTTTAAATCTGAATGAACATATTTTTAATCTAAATTAATCTGACATAAACTACAGTGTGCAGAAGCACGATTATATCTACATATGTAGGTATGTTTACTGTGCATACATACATATATTAAATGAATTGTTGTGTAAAAAGGAAACGATGGTCGTAAAAAAGTTAAGACGCAATAACGTACGCTGTGTTTTTTTATGTGACAAGGTAGCAAGGAACTTGGTGGTTCACTTGATGTTAAGCAATAACCGCCCGCTATGGACATTTACAATCCGATATGATATCTTTTTTTTGTTAACATGAGGGAAATGCCTACCATTCCCCTCACCTCTAGGTAAGACGAGCTGGAACATTCAGCTCGCTTTCCTACGTCCCTTTTTCAAGGCTAAAGAACTCCCCTGAATTCGCTGACCAGAGGCCATGGGAGCCAGGAGAGCCAGTGCCAATACAAAAAATATAACAACAAGCCTCCCGGACCCCAGTAGAGGACCTGGCCTGTGGCTCCACCGCTCACCTCGTTTCGGCAGCGGAGAGTAGGGAAAGCGGCGCACCGCAATACCGTCACGCCTCTTCTTCAGCGGCCCCACCAGCACTGCATTAACGGTGCGGCCCCGCCGAGTCGCGGCAAGATAGGGAGCGCGGCTACACGTAATACCGATACTCCTCTTCCCCCGCGACTACTCCTCGGTAGCAGAAGACAGGGAAAGTGGCTCCTTTTTTTATGGGAAAAAAGCAGCAAACGAGGCTCACCTGATGGTAAGTGATCACCGCCGCCCATGGACATCTGCAACACCCGAGGGCTTACAAATGCGTAAGCTCCTCCTATACCACCCTCGACCTGTCCTTTGCACCCTCCGGCACGCATCCAATGGCTCGTTGAACCCACTCGAAGCGGCCCTCTCGGGCCTGCGTTACACCACGGGCTGGCCCAGTGTAGGTTCCTCTTAGCTTCGCCGTGGATGACCAAGCCCCGTGGCTACTAAGCCCCTCGGCCGTGTCAAGGCGGGAACCCGGTCGGAGGGGAGCTTTAAGTTACTTTACTCACCAGACAATGTGACACTTTTACTTCACGCTGGTCATCTGTAAAATCGTATTACTTCCCTGTACCTGCCATTTTGTGCAACAGCAAAAAATGTTACATGTTCCTACCACAAGCTAATTTTAAATTTTAAAAATTAAGGTCAGGATTGCAAAGAACATGTTCCATCTGCTTGCTCTGTTTATTCTTCTGAGTATATTTCGAGGACTTACGATACTATTAATCTGTCTACTAAGTGTATTCTGGTAGGGCCACACAGCTTTTATACTGTTGCACGAATGGACATACTTATCCGGGAAAATACCACGGCTTCACAGAAGACGCGTGAAGTGGAAGTATTATATTTTCGTGTTTCGTCTGGTTATTAGCTTACTGGGACCCACTTTTTAAAAGGTTGTCAAAGCATCCGCAATCGTCTATGGGCGGCGGTAACCATTAACATCAGGTGAACCGCCTGCTAGCTTGGACGAGTTTTCACATAAAAAAGACTTTCTTTTCTATTCTGTTCGCTTTCCCTTTTAGGGGTTCCTTAATCAAAGGCTTTTACCCTTTTACTAAGACTCCGTTGTCTGTATGTCACCAGGCTGTATCCCATGAACCGTGATAGTTAGACAGTTGAAATTTTTATAGATGGTGTGTTTCTGTTGCCAATATTAAAACAGCATAAAATGAAAAATAAATAAGGGGGCTTCCATACAACAAACGCGAGGCGGTTGATAGGCAACATATAGGTACGTACCAATTAATTTATTGTAGATAATACGGTACCGCCATTACAATTTGCGCGAGTCTGACTTGCACTTGGCCGATTTTTATTTGATCAACATATGTTGGAGAACAACTCTTTTTATCTTGCTTTATTATGGGCTACTAAAATTATTTTTCTTGTTGAAAAGGAAGTAAACGAGGTCACCGGATCAACGGATCAGAAGTCAGTGATGAGCACCAGCAATAGAAACACGAAGCACCAGAGGAGTTACAAGTTTGTGACATTTAAGGTAGGAATGGACTCTTTTCTCCTTGAAGGTCCTTAAGTCGCATCGGAACGGAAATAAGTACTCCTGGTGACAATTAATTCCACTGTGGGTGTCAGAAAATTCATTAAAACACGTACAGTAGTCGACTGTCAACCATTGAAGTGGTATCGATGGTATGATGTATTTTTTGTTTTGTGACCGTAACAGCCATGTACTTATAATGATTGATTAATTATTTTTTTATTAGAAACTGGCTAGAAGTTCACCACAATGGATTTATTTTTTAACGATGGTGGTTTATGTCATTGGTGCTTGGAAGAAGTCGATTTAAACGCAGACGATTTAATAAAACTTTTAGAACTAGTTTATGGTGTCTTCAGTAATGAGAATGTTGTTGCAATTGTAACGTAGCGATGTAAGTGTATAAGTGCATTTCAATTAATGTCGATTAAAAAGTTGATAAATTATACTGTTTAAATTATTTTTACATTTTATATTTCAAAGATTTTTAAATACTCTGGGCCGCTTATTAAATTTGTATTCATATTTTATTAACTTAAGTTTGTATTTAATACAGACAATATTTTAAGGAATAAAGTCGTTAGTTTAGTATAAAGGAAAGCAAATCATACTAACGTACGGCTTATTTTGAACTTATGCGGCTGGCGATCTCCCACAGCAGGACAGGGTGTATCATACTTAATTAAAAGTAGTGAAGTCGTATGTTTGACAATTGTTCGTTTATTTTACAACAGAGGTAAAAGAAATATAAATAAATTTGTCACAAATAGGTTGGACGCCTTAGTCCTTTTCTGTTAAAATATTCAATAATGGCGGTAGCCGTGAGCGGGTGCGGGATGTACTGCTGGTGCGGAGTTATGGACGACGGCGTTGAAACTGTAACGATAGGAAAAAAAGCAATTAAAAAATGTATCCACAATAATTTACTTTTGAAGTTTAAGGGTAAGTTTTTTGAGTGCAGAGACTAGCGCTAAAAATAAATGTAACCATTAAAATGGTGAAGGTTATTTAGGATAGTGGGATTTAAATTTTTTAAATTACACTACTGATGTTTTGCTGTGTTAGGGCGACGCAACAACTTCCGGTGTTGTACGAATGGGTTATTTCGTTCGGGAATAATTAACTTGAACTACTAACTGAAAACTTCTTTTGAAAACGTCTGAAAATTTCCCACGGCCCACAGAGGACCAATGGATGAGGTAACCGGGCCCACTTTATTTTAAGGTTGTTAACGCATTTGTGAGTCCTCATACGTTGTATATTTCAATAGGCGGCGACACGTATAAAGTCTGAGTAATTAAAAGTCTGAGATTTGTAAAATTAAAAATTTACCCGGTGTGGTCATTGGCACTGTAGTCAACAGTGCGGACGGAGCCGTCGGGCTGTAGGAGTGTGTATGATCCATGTACTGCGTCACCATCGCGGATCTCGTGCTGGGACTTGTGGTCGCCAGTGTGTGGGTCCGCCACGGAGTAAGAGTAGTCGTACTTGGGGTGAGCCTGAAAGAGCCGTCGTAATGGTTTTTAACACTTTTCTTGTTTTCTATTTAAAGACAAGATGTAAAGATGGCATTTGACGAAATTACATAGTAGTCATGGCCTTCGGAGTAGGCGGCAGGTGCGGCGTAGTGAGCTGCTGGGGCGTATTGAGCAGTGTGGGCAAGAGGTGCAGCGGCGTGTGCTATGGGAGCCGCAGCGTAGGCGATAGGGGCAGCGGCGTAGCCAGAATCGTGGCGAACTATGCTCTGAGAGGACACGGAGGCGCCATGCCCATGCAGGAGGCCGGCGTTGGCGGCGGCTACCAGAGCACCGAAAGCTAAGATCTGCAAAAGTATTATCCGGATCACAATGATGGTTTGCACCAAAAACTTTTTGCACAAGTTATGAACATAGCACCGGCATCATTATTGTACCATAGTAATTAACAACGTGTTAACAGATGATTTTCAATTGTAATTAGTTCTGGGAACTTACTTTGCTGAACATTTTGAGTGTACGGTTTAGCTACCAAAGCTTGATTAATTTTAGTAGTGAAACGAATCGGTTTTATACAAGGCGACTTCGAGCATTTCGTGAGGTGGGGCGGCGAAATGCGATCAAGCACCTTTGCGGTATAACATTGACATGACTCCAAGGTCGATTTGATCAGTCTTACATCGTTAATCACTTTATCTATATCTGTTGTTCTCAGCTAATGTTTACTTCCTTTTTCGTATCCTGTTATTAGAAAAGCTTACGTTTAGTTATTAAAAAGAGTTAAGTTTTTGTAACATAGTTCCTACATTTAGTAAACGGTACAACTTTTACTCAACGATGGCTATGAGCTGCAGGATAGAGAAATATAAAAATTTTATACGAATTCCAAGTTCAATGATTTTACTTCTTTAAAAAGGGTTTATAATAAGAACTGCGAACATTGTGTCCAAAAAATAAATAAATTATTGGTTTGCTTGGAAGAAAGTGCCCTAATTTATTAAATTTGTTACTCGGGGTAAAATGCATAGAATATAAATGGCTGTTTCATTATTCTATACAGACCGAAACTTTTTTTCCATAAATATTTGAAAGTATAATTAAATCAATATATATAATAGTTAACTTATTGCCAGTTGTTCGTACAGGTATGTACATATGTATACATCCTTAGAAAATATAGTAATGTACATGTAGAAGCTTTCGGTGTTATATTACAGATGAAGTCGAATTCATAAGTAAACTTTATAACTAAAATATAATATTGTATTCTTTGCTGCAAGTAAATTCATACCTTGTTTATTTTAATCGAATCATTTACTAAACAAATTGATAAATCTTAACAAAGTAATTTGATAGTACATACATATCTATTGCGCAGTATGCATTGGCTCATTATCGCTCATTTTGGGTAACTAGGTCAGGTTTGATAGAAAGGCAAAGAATGTATTGTAACAGACGCCTAGATAATACGGTGCATAATAAATAATAACATGATTGTTGTAAAGATGTCCATTGATTTAAGCGATTATACGATTAAATTTAATAACATAATTATTATGTTTACGTTATAACAGAAATGTTTTTGGATAATAGTTTATAGCGTGTAGATCAATTACGTTTCACAAAAAAAAACTTGATTTTATCACGTTTTGAACGTACCTTCCTACTGTAGAATAAATGCAAATCATTTTGCGTTAAGATAATTAAAGAGGTGTTTAGTTTATTTCACGGATATGTTTCAACAGAATATTACAAATTGTGTGTACGGACCGTTATATTCATCATTGTAACCTCGAAATATATTAATGATTTTGTAATTTTAGACCACATTCTAGACTCTGTTTGCTTTTGTTTAAAAATTGTGCCAAACGAAACAGTGCTTTATAAGGACTTTTTTTCATTTACTTATCACGGTTATACCAAACTGTCATATAACGGGGCAAAAAAAATAATAATACTTAATAGTTTTTTGTATATAACATTCAAAATATTATATTAAAAATAAATATTAACTAATGTTAGCTCTTGATAATATGTATTTAGAAGTTGAGTTTACAATTTCAAGTTCTTTTTATATTTTCTCGGAGAAAAATGTAATAAATTTATTTCAATGAAAACTGAATGTGTGAAAAAATTTTTGCGCCATGATTTATCATGATTCCAAATGTTGTCTTCAATTTGTCGAATCTTTGTTTGAAGTGTGCATCGGAAATTGAAAACAATATAAAATGCGATAAATTCCGTAAGACATTTAATTTAAACATGTCTTTTAAGGTCGTTGAATGTTCTTTTCAGCGCGAACCGTTAGTAACAAATACACTTATTACTAGATATATATATATATATAGATAGAAATAATATATATATATATATATATATATAATACTGTTATAGAAGGAAATCGGCTAAGATTGAAAAAAGGAATAGACATATTACGTATAAAGAAATTTAGTTTACCAACGGTTTACCTAAAGTCATGCCAGATTTCAAAATGCTCGTCTGTTTTTTTTATTTAATAAGCGTTTGTAAATGGGTTTCTGTGGCAGCAGCCCACACTGCAACAATGCGTTTGCACAAACAACGCTTTGACTAAGAATTTACGTCAACACCACAGCGGACAAACTTTTAATTCACCCTTCACGCAGGCCAGATTTAAACTTATAACACCTCTTTTTATTCACTAAAATAATATTTCTGCTAAGTAACTTTCTTTTTTTAAAGTGTGATATAGAAATTATTTGTAATTTCTATACATTATTTATCAATGGTGTTTTCAACTTTAACAATTGAAACATAATATTACAGCTCATGTTGGCCACCATTCACATAAATATAAAAGTACAATTTAACTTTATTTTGTTTTAATCAAAAAATACTTTTGTTTATCTTCTTATATTGAATGTATGTTAATGCAATCTTTTGAAAATTCGTTTTAATGAAAAATAGTGAATATTAAAGCATCCACCGCTGAAAATAGGTCTCCTCTAGGGATTTCCACTTCGTTAGATTTGAAGCGGCCTCCATCCAGCGAAGTCCCGCGACTTTGGACAGGTCGGTCCATCTCGCGGGTGGCCGCCCTACACTGCGTTTTCCAACGCGTGGTCTCCACTCGATAACCTTACTGCCCCATCAGCAGTCACTTCTGCCTTGCCACTTGCCACTTCAGCTTGCAGACCCGTTTGACTATGTCGGTAGCCTTCGTTCGTCTGCGGATCTCCTCATTCCTGATCTTGCAGAGAAACCCCGAGCATAGCCCTCTTCATTGCCCGCTGAGCGACGCTGAGTCTCTTTACGAGGCCCATGGTTAAACACCACGTCTCGGCACCATAAATCACTGGGCTATCTAGATGTCCTTATTTCCTTTTTAATAATTTTTAACATCCATGTTTGTTAGATTGAGAAGTTTATTGTTCGGTAAAAAATTAAGATGAGAAATAATGATATCCTTGAACCATTAACCAAATTAACTTAAAAAGTAGACTTAGGAATAAACTTAAAAAAACTGTAAACTAAAAAAGTTTCAGGTATTAAAAATCACAGAAGTAAATTGCATATTTTATTTAATTTAAGTATAGGAATTATATTTGAACAAAGTACGTATTATATTGTTGACGATTACAGGGAATCTTCAAAGTTACAACAATTTTTATTGTTGTGACTAGAGGAAGAGTGGAGTTTTATTAAGGACCTAGCACGGTTTAGTAGCCAATGATGGCAAGAGTATATATGTTAAGGGAGAAGGTAAGGTCTGTCTTTGATTTTCTACTTGTGTTCCACGTATTTTGGCTTGGAGACATTTAATTATATCATTATAGGACACAACATTATTATTTCCTAACGATTCTGGAGTGACTCCTTCTGCATTTTCTTTAGGAGTATCAGGTCTTGTTGTGGTAGTTTCTTCTGCTTTGGGAACTTGTACTGGTGTCGTTTCTATTCCAGATACAGGTTCATCAAGTGATTCGCTCTCACTTTCAACTTGAGTCTTCGGTACTTCTTCAGTTGTTTTGTTATCATCTGGTTGTTCTTTTAATTGTTCACTCTTAGCGTCATCGCAAGTTGGTATAGGCATCTTTTTTTCTGGTTCATTTGAATTATTTGCGCTATCATTATTGTTTTGTAAAATGTTACGAACAACTGCATTAAATCTGTAAATGTATAAAAAAGATAGCTTAAAGAAACAAAACTCTACATCTTTTATAACATATACGTAATATAGCATTTAACAATTATCTTTTTTGTGTGATAGCCATGATAGCTCAGTGTCCGGGCGCTCGCATTTAATTCAATATACTCGAGCAACCTGAGATCAATCTCCGGTGCCGGCACCAATGAAGTTTTTAACTTTAAGTGCTGACTTATCACGTGCTCCGCAAACATCGTGAGGAAACCTGCATATTTTCGAAATAATAACAAAAAAGAAATATTTTTCGAAGATATGTAAAGTCCGCCAATGCACAGTGGGGCCGCGTAGTGGACTATGCCCTGATACCCTCTGTGTAGAGGAGGCCTTTCCCAGCAGTGGGACATGTATAGGCTGTTACTTAACTTTTTTTGTGTTTATGAGTATTAAATATTACAAATATATTAAAATAAATATCCGATTGACTAAATTACTGTTCAGAACGAAAATTATAATTTAGTAAATTACAGTCGAATTGTAAAGCTTATAATTACCCTTTCAAATCGTCAGCTGTATATGTAACTTCTCGTATTGATCCATTTGGTTCTATTAACGAATATTGTCCTTGAACTACCGATCCATCACTTTGTTCACTTTGTGACTTGCGGTCTCCAGTGTTTTCGTCAAATACGGCGTACGAATATTGATAGCTGGCAGCATCCTATATATAATAAATATGATTTGATAGTGTCAATAAATAGATAGTGTTGAATTTAAAACGTAAAGTATATTGTAACTATTGTTACCCACATCATTTTTAGCTAGTACAACAGGGATGCTAGCGATAGGAGCTTTGTATGTGATAAAATTTGCTCTTGCTTGGGGCGATACTGCAGCGATGGGTGCTCCGGGAATAACACATGGCGCCACGCACGGAGGAACTATTCCTTGTACTGTTTCTAAGGGTATAACTGGTTCTACAGGATTGGCAGATATTTGTGCAATCTGCGGACTGGTAAATGATGCTGTGGGAGTGCCGTATTTAAAATATTCCACGGGGTTGCTCTGAACATATACATTTGAAAAAGAGGCTGCAGATATTCCTTTTACGAATACCCAGTAAAGAGATACAGCTGCGATGGTGTTCTGAAAAATAAGTAAACTTATTATTTTCTATCTTTTTTCCATGTCGGCATACATGAAGATATCTATTTTCCTTTTTTTGGAACGTTTATAAATTGTAAACACTATATATTGATACACTGAACTACTAAGAGGCTTTGAATCACAAATGTTACTTGTCTGTACAAAAATTTAAGACTTCGTTTCCGCATTATATTCACTGGGTTTTTTTTCAAATCACCTTTGTTACACAGAAGAGGATAAAAATAAATATTACTGCGACTTACTATTGGAATCATGTTTTCCTTCGATATATGGAAGACGACTAATAATTTTCAGTGGGACGCTTCGACTTTTAAAAGGCGATTGGTTTTACTTAAATATTCTGTTCACTAACATCTAAACAAAACGTCAATGTCATGTAACAAACGAAAAGCGGTAAACAATAAAAACGTTAATTGGCATTTAGCACAGACTCTACCGTTTGCTTCTCACATATTCAGAACGCGAAAAGGACAGTAACGCGAATTATACCATGACGTTTGACATTTTGTGAAATGATCTAGTACCAATTTAGGCAACTTTGCGGATACGTAATATTTTTTTTATTTTTTTGTTTCAATACATTAATTTAGCGATTTAATAAGTAGTCTTAAATTTAATCAAGAGGTTTGTTTGTTTGTTTTCTTTTATATACACACAATATAATACAGGCATTTGGAACAAATGACAAGAAACATGCACAAAGTCGAATATTAAGGATTAATTGTCCACGGATGCCACATACAATCTTCAATTAACAAAAATTTTTGTCTTGTAACGAAATACCTATTAAACTAGTGTTAATATGGTAAAATATACATTATTTGGTTACTTTTTTATCTTAAGTAAAAATTTTACTTTACTATCGATACTAAAACATAAAGAGGAAACTGATGCTTAAATACTTAAATACACTTTTGTTTTGTAAATCAACACATAAATTATAGTTAATTTAAACACTCACATACTAGAAACTTTATGTGCATCGAGTAATATTTTTCCTAGTATCAGGGATTGAATCTACAATCTGTCCTATACTGTCGAATATGCTATGGCTCACCAAACTTACAAAAATTATAAGGTCAAACATTCATCGGATAGGTATCACATTCTACGTTAAGCGGTAATGGTCGTGGAGTCGAATCTATGTTTCTTATTTTTTTTATTTATGATGTATATCACGAGCTTCTCTTCACTTGGTATAGCGAAATAAAATAAAAGACATGATATCTTCTGTAAAGGAAAAAAATAACAATGATACTTAATCCAAAGGCATTTGCTGAAACTCGTGGCAAAATATTTGGTATCAAGTTGTCATCGAGACTTGAGTAATCATATCTGGTAAAATTCCAATTGCGGCTACTAGCTCCAGTTTGCATATTGAATGGCATTTCTTAATTTGCATTTGTATACTCTGATACTCTCACCACTTAACCGCGTAAGTAACCAAAGTTAATTATGTTCAAGCTATATTTAGCATATTTAGCAATGTCTGCTTCATGCAATACAGTACAGAGGCAGTAAGAAATACTTTTGTAATTATATTACTTGGTTGATGTATAATGCCTATTGCATGTAATCAAAATTGTATAATTATTAAGTCAATTAGATTTTAAAATAAACTCTCATTTGTCGCGGTATCCTATTGAATTGTTCCAGCTTCCAGCCCAAATTATAAAAACCGGGATTGATCTCCACTCGTTACCGTGCAAAAACAAGCTGGGAATTTTCTAGATGGGAGAGACAACTCTATAGATATTATATACTCTATAATTATGTTTTCCGATAAACTAATTAATTATAAAATAATAATCTTAAAAACTTCTAACGCGGTTTCTTTTTTGTAATGCGTTTTTAGGGCCACGCAGAAAATTCCCTGTATTATCACATAACATCATAAAAACACAAATTATAATACATTTCAATCTCATTTTTCATATTTTTGTAATTCCAATTTGGTTTACAGTCACCGCATTCAATTAAGTTGCGAACACGACTAATAACACTATTATATGTATTAGTACCTGGAGGTGTTTTTTGGTAAATCGAGTATTTTGGAAATAAAAAAAAAAAAATAATAAAGAAAGCTATGATAAGAAAGATATGAAGGTATAGAAAAAAGTAAAAAAAAACTAAGTGTGTAAATGATCGTGACACGAACCGCGGTCTTCTTTTCCGCCCGATTACCGACCGAGCTAATACAACATTTTTTTTCGGCGAAATTTACCGTCATATTCGAATGATATTTTTCATTCCCTGAAAACAGGGATAAAAGGACATTTTCTCAAAGTGAAACCTACAGATACTTACTCGTAATTTCATGAAAATCGCTGGAGTCGTTTCCGAGATTCCGATTATATATCCTTACTAATCCTGACTTCCTTACTAATATTATTAAGGCGAAAGTTTGTATAAATGGATGGATGTTTGTTACTCTTTCACGCAAATGCCACTGAATGGATTTTAATGAAACTACAATAATATAGCTTATACATCAGAATAAGACATAGGCTATAATTTATATATATATATATATATATTTAACGTCTTTTTGTCTGAATGTTACGCCTTCGGCCTATTTTACGCAGACGTAGTTGCAGGCAGCAGCTAGTTACCAAATAATATAAGTAAAAGAGTGGGACAACTTTCAAATGTATATGACTAAACTTAAAAGCTTAATATTGTACTTATCTTGATTAGATAACTTTCAACACTTTGTATCCAGCGGTTTAAAAATATGTTGGTACCTACTTATATTTTTTAAAATATATGATTGCATCTCATTTTAAGTGAACTATATTTAAGTTCTTATGAGAATATATCTTTGCTATGCTCTTTTTATAAAATTGTGTAAAAACGCCTTGAATAATATCATAGCAATAATACCGCTATGCGGAATGTCTCAAAACTGAATAAAAAGTTTTCTTTGCAAAAGCAATGATATTTTATATTTAAGCTTAAATTTTCATGGTATGCTTTTTTACTTAGGGTTATATATTTTTGAAAGTCGCTTTTATACTTGTTAATTCATTTAACATTATTTATTTATTATTAAGGTTTAGGCTTAGACACGGAACAAGTATTTGTATAAACCAAAGATAATTTTTTCGGGTTTTTATCAATGTGAAATTTTTGTATGTAGAATGCTTCACAAAACAATAATTTAATTCTATAAAAACATCTGAAAACTTTTCGACTTTAATTATTATGAATTCTTATTATAATTTTAAAACGCATAATTATCATGAAAAAACTGTGTAGTGTACATAATTAAGAGGTTTCGCATAATTCGATATTTTTTTCACCCGTACACTTTAAAAAAAATTACACCATTGAATTCTAGACTAGACTATAAATATTTATTAATATAACACAGATCTAAGGCAAATTTTGTAATCATAATGTACGATATCTTAAACCAATTCTTACCGTAAAAATACGAGTACGAATCAAAATCGCAACTAGTAGATGTAGCAACTACTGGATTTAGTTTATGTTTCAGTTTAGTTTTCTTAGTTCTATAAATGCCTCATAGCAGGAGTTAAGATGGCCTGGCCACTAATATTAAAAAACTGTGTTTTTCGGAATCCCTGCTATATTCTAAAAATAATTATATGTATCTAAATGTTAATAAATGTTTTATAGAAGCGAGTAAATAAAATAAAATTTAATTATTCTATAGATAATAAACATTTAGAGCGGAAAAACTCTATCAAAGATCTCGTAGTCATATTAGATAGCAAGTGGACTTTTCGGGAACATTACGAAGAAATTTCTGTTAGATGTAACAAATTAGTTGGTTTAATTTTTAGAGTAACAAAAGATTTTAAATCACCAAATAGTGTTATTTACCTATACATCACATTAGTCCGAAGTATTTTAGAATATGCTGCTGTGGTTTGGTCATCTTATTATGCAATTCATGTATTTAGAATAGAAAACGTTCAGAAAAATGTGCTGAGGATGTTATCATACCGCTACCGCCTTAGACGGATGTTACCTGAATATGAGGATCGATTAAAGTATTTTAAAATGGAGGGTCTTGAAGAGCGAAGGCAGCGCAGCTGTTTAGTATTTTTGTACAAAATTGTTAATTCGATAACACACACTGAGCTATTAACCAGAATAAAGATAAACACAAATTATCGAAGTCGGAATGCTAAACTATTTCATATACCATATAGCACAATTAAGTTTGCGCAAAATAACCCAATTTACAGAATGTGTTCCATCTACAATAAACTTGCTAGCAGCAATCATTCCATTGATATTTTTTACCAAAAACTGAGTGCATTCAAACAAATTATCACATGCCCATAATGTGTTTTGTATTTTTTTCCCTCTCTTATTTTTATAGTTTTTTTTATTTTGTTTTTAGCAGCTTTGTTTATAATTTTTTTTTATCTAGTGTAAATTAAGTTGAAAACATTTTTGCCATGATATCGTAGCATGTTGTGTACGCATAGTTTTGGCTGACAGTATGTAATTGTTTACTTTATTGAACTTTATTGTGATGTGTATATTACTGTTTGCTGTTTTGTGTATCAAATAAAATAAAATTCTTAAAGACATCTGAATATCCTTAGTAATTTAATTCATTTTTTTTGTGACTCGGTGTTTTTAAATTGTTACTACCCCTGTAATAATTCCATTAAAGAAATAGATAAAGTGGAAGTGAAATTTGAGGGATATCAAAATATTTAAAACACTTTGGGTGTTGAGAAATGAGATACACAAAATAACAAATTCCGATTTGTTCACAAAGACTAAATTAACGGTTTTGCATTTATTATTTTTGAATATAGTCCTTAACCCAACCATGTTTCTAGTTATTTCCTTATAAATATCAAAACAATATGCTAGTTTAGGCATAATTGTATACGATATTTTTAATAGTATGGCATGATTGGAGTGGTTTAGGTAAAAATATAATTGTTATTTTAAAAATATAAGTTGCCATCATATCTCCATTATACGATACTATGCATAAAATTAAAAAGCTTGTTGGTCGTGGGCGTCTTCTTCAAACTTTGACTAATTTAGCAGAAGCTTTGATAAATTAGTCAAAATTATTATATATTAGTTCTATAAATGCCTCATAGCAGGAGTTAAGATGGCCTGGCCACTAATAATAAAAAACTGTGTTTTTCGGAATCCCTGCTATATTCTAGAAATAATTATATGTATCTAAATGTTAATAAATGTTTTATAGTATATAGTAAATAAAATTTAATTATTCTATAGATAATAAACATTTAGAGCGGAAAAACTCTATCAAAGATCTCGTAGTCATATTAGATAGCAAGTGGACTTTTCGGGAACATTACGAAGAAATTTCTGTTAGATGTAACAAATTAGTTGGTTTAATTTTTAGAGTAACAAAAGATTTTAAATCACCAAATAGTGTTATTTACCTATACATCACATTAGTCCGAAGTATTTTAGAATATGCTGCTGTGGTTTGGTCATCTTATTATGCAATTCATGTATTTAGAATAGAAAACGTTCAGAAAAATGTGCTGAGGATGTTATCATACCGCTACCGCCTTAGACGGATGTTACCTGAATATGAGGATCGATTAAAGTATTTTAAAATGGAGGGTCTTGAAGAGCGAAGGAATTAACGGTTTTGCATTTATTATTTTTGAATATAGTCCTTAACCCAACCATGTTTCTAGTTATTTCCTTATAAATATCAAAACAATATGCTAGTTTAGGCATAATTGTATACGATATTTTTAATAGTATGGCATGATTGGAGTGGTTTAGGTAAAAATATAATTGTTATTTTAAAAATATAAGTTGCCATCATATATCCATTATATGATACTATGCATAAAATTAAAAAGCTTGTTGGTCGTGGGCGTCTTCTTCAAACTTTGACTAATTTAGCAGAAGCTTTGATAAATTAGTCAAAATTAGAAGAAGACGCCCACGACCAACAAATTTTTTAATTTTATGCATAGTATCATATAATTTAGCAAAAGCTTTGATAAATTAGTCATAGTTTGAAGAAGAACTGTCCCAAATTACTGCATAAATCCTTTTCTAAAATTGATGTATCAATGAATATACCTATTGTTGGATAAATTATTGTGGAAAAATACAACGAATATATTACAAAATTTATGTATTTTCTGTGGAGATCCTAAAATTTGATTTGATTCAATACCATGTCGCGAATTTGTTGTTATATTTTGTATTGGAGCATCAAAAAGTCAATTTGAAATATCTGCTACTTACTGCATTCAAACCTTTGTGATTAAATTAATCTAACAGCTACTTAAATATTCTTCTAGACATAACATTTTGAGCTGATGTTTGACTTATTTAATACAGTTTTGTAACAGTACACAGTTGTGTAATTAAGGATTTAAAATAATAAGACATAAAAATAATTTTTGAACAGTTTATTCTCGCCACAGTCTTAATATAAAAATTTATGTGGACTAAAGTCTATCTAAGTAAGTATTTAAGGTACATAGTAATATCACATGAAAGCAGTGGCCCATGGCCAGCGATGATTAGTGGTGGTACTCTTGGTGAGCGGGCGCGGTGTTGTGCACGATTGCGTTGAAACTGTAAGAAGACCGTACATGTTATTAAAAAGATATTTCACATCTTCGCAAAGCATCAAGTGATCAAGAAAATCAAAAGAATTTAAGATTACTCAGATAACCGGGCGTAATGGAATTATTAAAATTTGTGAATGAATTAATCTTTTTGTTTTAGATATAAATCAACTGTTACACGCTCGTCGTATACGACGGAAATAATTACCCTGAGTGGTCGTCAGCAGTATAGGTAACTTTGCGGAAAGAGCCGTCGGGCTGGAGCAGCGAGTATTCTCCCTTCACAACGTCACCATCGCGAGCTTCGTGCTGGGTCTTGTGGTCACCGGTGTGAGGGTCCGAAACCGAGTAGGAGTAGTCGTATTTGGGATGAGCCTGTAAAGAAAAGCAGATTTAGAACACTGCCCAATTACACAACGACAATACTTGTGCTTCGCTGCATCGAAAATAACAAGACCTCACTAGCGATTGCATAACGCCGCCGACGTTGATTGTTAACGGTCCAGATCAGATATTAAAACGAGCGCGAGAGCAAGCGCCGGTTTATGCAAACAACGATCCGTTTCCCCTCGTGCATCATGACGGTCATTATATCCCCATCCGCGAGCCGGTAGGCGCGAATTTCGCAAGAGTAGAGTCTGGGAACGGCGCTCCACTAGCGGCCCAACAGTCACGACCGGGAATTTACTCAATAGTTAGACGTGGAAAACGGTTATATAATACCAAGCAGATTATATCGAATTATAGTTCGCAGAGGACGATTTATGACAGTTCCCTGTACACAGTGACAATGAATGGAATTAAAAAAGCTAGATTTTATTTATTATCTTTTTTAAATAAGAAAATAAACAAACGTAATTTTTAGTTATATGAGAAATATATATACGTATACGTTCTCTATTAGCTTAATTTTATTCGATATCTAAATGCGAACGATTTCCCATCTCTAATGCTTCATTGATGAAATTCGAGTACTCAACTTAAAAGTTAACGTTCTGATAACCGATTATCTAGCAGCATCCATCAAAATAGGTCTTTGCCGAGAAATGTTCATTAATTTCCATAGTTACGTTAGGTTTGTAAATAGTTGCTCTTAGTTAATTCCCAGGGATTGATTAGTGCAAAAATACTTGTGGTGATGCAACTTTCCTACATAAACCTACTTGCCGGATAATGCAGATAGATATCGTATCCAGGAAACTGTTGATCGAGTTGTATCGGGCAAACAACACGTTCATTTTACGCAACCGATCAATTAGTTACTCGCTATTGTATTACGCCATCGCCGGGGCTTAGTGGAATAAGTTTACTCTACTTAATGATTTTAGGTCTCTTATTTTTATAACCGTTCATAATGCTTTATTACGTCTATCAATTCTGTGATGAATATTACGCAATGTGCGCGCTACAATTCTACCCAAATAATTTGTTTTGTTCTTGACCACATTCTTTTGTAGTTTTTAGTGCATTAAGTTAAATTTCCTGAGACAATGACGCGGTTTCGTAATTGTAATGAGCTTGGTGACGGTTGCGTTCTCTACATGCTCTCATTGCGTGAGATGGACAGTGGTTGTATACGTTTTGAAGGTTGTAAGATTTAAAAACTTAAGATCTACGATTAAGCTGTTAAATATTTCTGTTATTTTTGTTATATTCCTTTCAAGCGTTAATGTCTACGGATACTGTTAAAAATTCTATTTTTTCTGCCCTTATAATTTCTCTCATTTATCGTGTTACCCCTTTGTGAGGCACATGTGAATCTTTGCTGTGTAAAAATTGCTTTGTCTAGGATAGGTATGAATATATATTACTAGCTGCTACCCGCGGCTACGCCTGCGTAGAATAGGCTGAAGGCGTAACATTCATACAGAAAGACATAAAACATGTATATAAATTATAGCCTATGTCTTATTCTGACGTGTAAGCTATATTATTGTGAGGTTTCATTAAAATCAATTCAGTAGTATTTGCGTGAAAGAGTAACAAACATCCATCCATACATACAAACTTTCGCGTTTATAATATTAGAAAGGATAAGTAAGGATTAGTAAGGATGAAAGTGTGTCCAGAAAATGAATAGGTGTAGTAATAAATGTTTTTGAATTAATTTTTAGTTCCAATACCAATATTATAGAATAAAATATGCTAAGTTTTGAAGGGTTTATACCAACATAAATTTACAAATACCCAGATCTCTGAGAAGTTTGTACAAAAACTTGCACGGAGCGAAAATCGAACCTAAGCGACGCTGCACCGAAGCTTTCGATGATAGCTAGAGATGTGTAAATTGAGACATTGCTATAAGTAAACAACGGTACTGGTTAACAATAAAATGGTGATTTGCATTGAGTCCATCAATCGCTTCATCGATTGGGCTCCTATGGGGGTTCTTTTACGTACGCTTAGTGTTATGTCTTACGTGATAATCAACGTGTTGATCAGCGTGGCCCTCGTACGCTAGCTGGGCAACTGGGGCATAACCAGCGGATTCGTGGCCATAGGAGTCTCCTCCATATCCATGCCCCAGCTGTACTACACCTGCCGCAGCGATCGCCACAAGGGAGAGAGCTATGGCTGTCTGTAAACAAATGGTTATTATAGAGCTTCGGTAACAAATGAAAAGATTTTCTATTTATGGCTTGTGCCGAAACGTTTAAATCAAATCAATCAAAACAAGTTAATCATATTATTGATATAATCAAGATTCCATTAACTGAAAGCTCCATGTCTGATGTAATATCATTCTGTTCTGCCGAGGTCTCTTAGGTATAATTAAGAAATACTATTTCTAAGCTAGCTTAGCATTACTTACTTATTATATTTAGCTTTTGGAAATGTCCAAATTTTAGAAAATAAATAAGCTTTTAAATAGGACGGGTATAGATTTTTCTTAGTCTTTTGAGTCAAAAATGTATATATAATCTACAAAACTTCTGAGAATAAACGACAAGGAGAAAGGGCCGCGAATCGCACTTACTTTGGTGAACATTTTCCGTTTGTTAGGTTTACTTCGTCTGAACGACCACACACGACTGATGCTTAGAAGCGAAATCAGCGACTTTTATATTACTTACCGGCGAGATGCGGCGCCGTACACGCGGTCTACGCAAGAATACGGCAGTTTGATAATAGCATGGAATAAGAATTACATAAAATATGGCACCTGGTTCAAGGTGATAAATCTCATGTACACCGAGACCATGATAATCTTTCCATAGTTAGGAAAATAGATAATTTAAGATGACAATGTCATTGCACCGCATCGGATTGCGACAGACACAGCCTCAGTCAGTTCGCCTCCTTTCTATTAAAATTGGATTAAGAAGGGAAATGCTGTTAGAATAATTTAACTGTTACTAAACGTTCTGTTTACCTGTAGCATAGCATATTTATGAATGTGTTGATCACATAAATCGAGAGCGCGTTTTACGATCTCGTTTTCTCCAATGAGTTAATACGCTTTGTCATGCGACGTGGTCCTGGTTGTTTGCCAAATCAGCGAAAGGATAATCTGAAAATGAATCGCATAACTAATTTAATTCCGTTCCATCCTAACGTTATACTTCGCGTATTGCGTATATGTCATGTGTCGAAGCGTAACCTCACGCTTGTGAACCGGCGACGAATCAGCCGAGAACAATTGTAAATGACATTATTTTTATGACTGTTGCGCCATGTCTTCATAGGATTCATTTCCGTAATTATTAATTATGAGAGCGATAAAAAGATAAATGTATATTCATGACATAAACACTTAGGTGTCAAATACACTATACAAACCATGTGATATATTGATGTTGTAAAATACAACATCGATATATCACATGAAATTAAATACGATTATTACATAACGTGTTATGCTGCTTATTGTTTCATTTATCATTATAAAGAGGCAAAATTGTAAAAAAGTTCGTTTTTTTTTAAATTGGTCATTTGCGTATGACAATATATATTTAATTAATAAATTATTAATTACGATTTCATCTACGTTATAATATACTTAACATACTTAACTACGTCAATATTTAACATATCCATCTACATTAATATTTAAACACTCAAGTATATTTCATATACCAGGGTAACGAATTTACACTTAAATATTTACTTGTGATATTAGAGTTTAATAGAGTTAGAATTAGTTTAATAGATTTGATATTTCATATATTTTGTATTTTTACAGAAATTGGCATAAATTTTCGTTAAGGGTGTTTCTAAATTAAATTATACTTTCGATTGCCTTGATTTCGATGATCTTAATTCCAATCGCCTTAATTAGGCTAATAATGCGCTTCACGAGGTGCTGCATATTCTTGTTTAGCATGGTACGTATAAAATTACACGCTAGTAAGGAACTAGAGCGTTGCTGTGACTCAAATGACGCAATGCCAACCTAAAGACAAACCGCTTTTCGAACTTGAGATATTCCTGTGGTACGTTTTATTATAAAATTAGGAATTTGCTATGGAGTGGTTTCAGCCTAGGTCAATATGAAAACTATTAAGAGTTTTACTTGGTTATGAAGAGTATGTTTTTTTGGTACAGTTATTATCCACTTAGACGTTTTGACACACAAATGTTAATGCGTAAAGGATGAAGATTAAAGGGTTTTTTAAAGAAAAAATTTACCTGTCGCCCACGAAAACTGAAAGTTTATATTATCCTAAAACTACCGATAGTCAGAGGGTATATGAGTTTTATATGAATTATTTGACATTATTATAGTGTGCTCTCAAAGAAAGTTCTTACTTTTAGATATTTCCATCTCGAATTTACCTGTAATTCCAAACTAATTAATTAAACCATTATCAGTTGCATTTAATGTCTTTTTTACTAACAAAGAGTACCGGGTCAGGGGATAAAACTTTTAGTTTTTAAAAATGTAATACCTACGTTTATAAATAATAATAATTTTATATTTTAATAATTTCATTTTTTTATTCTTATGTACGTACATGACCTGATCGAATATGCCCACTAGGAAAGAAGCGCTAATAATTTAGTTGTTCGAAAAGAACAGAGCGTAGTGACTGATGTGAACTCGGGCTAAAGTAGTGCAATATTATGTCTAAATTGGCAGTGGAGACCCAAACTTACATAATACTGTGAATTTATGAATAATAAAGTAATTTAGCTATTGCCTTGATAGTTTTATACGTGATATTACGTATTCCAAAGCTAGTAGGCCAAATTTTTTAAGTATGAGAGACCGATTTCAAATTTAAATTAATAGATATCTTGTCAAATGTCCTGTTTAGTTATATATTAATTTGACATTTATAATAATTAAAATAATTAACTTATTTATACACTATTACATTTTTTGTGTTCCTCGTCATAATATACGCTGGCTGTATATTTCTACTTTTCTTGTTTCTCTCCCACATGTTATTCCACACTAGGTGGGGTCGGCATAGCGTGTAAAGGACACCTTCCATTTTCCTCTATCAGCCATCATCTCAATACTTACCTTTCACAGACATATCATTCTTCACACAGTTCATCAAAATCTTTCTCGGTCTTCCTCTAGCTTTCTACCCTCCCAACCACATTCATGTTCATCACTACTCTAGTCACATCACTTTCATCCCTTCTCATATTGTGCCCATACCATGTCTGCCTCTTATTTTCTCAGTCACTAGTATCACTCATTTCGTACTATATGTAAAATTTTCTACTATTATACTAAAAACTATTTTTTATGATAGCTGAAGTGAAGAAGACTGTGAAGTTTTCATTACCTAACTATTGGTTTGAAGTGCGATACTTCTTATTAGAATGTTACAGAAAGGCGTAAAAAGTATAATTTTGCAAGTCAATAGACCAATATTTGAGTAGAGCATTAACCAATCTTCGTAGATATTAAAGCATTATGGTGAAATAAGGTTTTTGCGCATGTTCATAGAATTTGCCTTTATGACTGTGTACCTACGACTTCACATGTCATTGTTATTTATCCTAGGTAGGTTGATTTTATCATGAAATGATTTGATGTGTGAATAGGGCACCGTACTTTTTAAATAAGAAAAATAAATTGATTTCGTTTGTTAGGCTGTAGCCGTTCATTAACATTTTACTAAGAATAATATCCCGATTGAAGAAAAATCCATTTTTATGTTACATTACATTTTTTATATAAAATGTTCTCTGGATGTCAACAGATAATTTTAACTATATGTGTTTCAAAGGGAATATCGTATTTATGACATTAAATATTTTCTTTCCTTTTTTGTCTCTTCCAAATGATAACCGCTGCATTACATTAGCAACACTCGTAGAGTTGAAAATGAGTTGCCATCTTTGAATAAAGTGGGCCGGCAGAATTATAACATTTCTCTTTTACGCCGGTCTTCTGTGAGATGTGGTACATCACTAGAGAGACCTGCCCATTCGTGCAACAACGAAGACTGTTACGCAGCTCTACCACAATGAAAATGCGCCAAATTTTTGTATATAGGATGTCTCTACAAAACAAATTAGTACAGTAACAAATTAGTATTAGTAATATAGTCCTGTAAAGATGTCATATTACACAATTTTCCAGGTGACATTAACACAGATCTGGAACAATTATCTGTGAGTCATACAGAAACTTATCCCGTGTGGGAATCGAAATCACGATCCCTGGCACTGAAGTCGCTACCTTAGCAAATGCACCACCACGTGTTCAGAATACCTTTACTGATTTATTACAGTGCAAGAGATTGTACTGCAAAATTGGCATTAAAGGTTTTTATGTTACTACTAAAATACAGATTGCCCAAGTACTAATTTTATTATTTAGTTTAAGAGACGTTGCTACTAGATTGTATGTCAATTACTTATGAGATTGTTTGAAAAAACCTTCCCATGGGATAGAGAAAATAGGACCAAATAAAATTTAATGAAATATCTTTATTCTGGCTTTAGATTTAGATTGATAATATTATAACACTGGGGACAGAACCCAATGATGACATCCAACAAGTAAAGTATTATCAGGAATTAATATATAATCAAGCAAAAGAATTTGGTATTAAAGTTGCCTTCAGCATTTAACGAAGTTACGTTTGAAAAATGTATTCATTTCACAAATATAATGTAACCCTACGCATTTAACAAAGTCTGTCCAAAATTTAATTGCCCGCAAAATCTTGTGTAAGACAAGTGAGAACTACTTAGCAATTATCGTTACGCAATTTAACACATCCGCGAGCAAATTCTTCGGGGTAGAGCATTTCGTTTAATCGGCCTCTATGTTCATATTTATGAATGTAAATTCGCGTTATTTCCTGCACACGATGAAGCGTGTAACCGTAAACGCGATTACTTTGAATGGATGAGTACATCGCCAACAACTCGAAATTTGTATCACTCATCAACACAACTCCTAGTGAGTGCAATATAAATTGGTTACCTACTTTTGCTTTACATTGATGCTATTTAAAGTCTTAGAAATATTGTCAAGTAAACTATATCATTAATTTTAATTAAATGGTCACTGGTGGAAGACTAGACACTTCGTTTTATTTATTTGGAGCGGAAAATAATAAACTTTCCAAACTTAATAAATTTAATCTTCTCGATCATCAGATTACTAGATGCTCGTCGGGCCTTTATCCTTTGGTTCTTTATTAGTTGACTACTGGCACCTATGTGCATAACGCCCAAAATCATCTGTCTTCTTCTTTTCGTGTCGATGGCGATAACTATTCACACGGTATCGGCTCAAAATTCGGTCACATGAATTACACTGTCAGCAGCATTCCTGAGGTCCTCCTGCGTGCAGTTGGTTGGGCATGCAGGGCACACCGTCAAATGTTCCATGGTTTGGGGAACAGCACCACATTTGCACTCCAAGCCGGAACCGTCTGAGAATCCCCACCTGAACAGGTTCTCTTTACTTCGGCCAACTTTCGTCCGAGGTTTATTTAAATCATCCGTTAAACATTTATTTTAAAGCTGATACACTGAGCCCGAGTTGACGCAGTAAATCCGTGAAGGCACTTTGCGATCCTCTGGCAGGAACGAAGTCCTTTACATTTCCTTTTCCTCACTTTGGACGCTTAATTAACTAGCGTACGTTAGAAAAGAAGATAGAGATAGAGTCGCTGAGAGTTGAATAGAGGCGGCGTAAAGCTTTTTCATTACGTGACAATTTTTATCAATTCACACTTGACACTGAATCAAATATTTAACATTTACTTACATTCCAAGATAGCTTTGAAGAAAATTTTAAATAACTTAGTGTTAACTAAAACTAAACATAACTTAAAATTTACTTCTAATTTTCTTAAAATGTAGTGATATAGTATCAAAGTCATCCTGCTGTCTGTCTGTCCCTATGTATGCTTAGATCTTTAAAACTACGCAACCGATCTTGATGCTGTTTTTTTTACTACATAGTGTGAATCAAGAGGAAGGTTTATATGTATATTACATTGCACCCGTGCGAAGCCGGTAAGCAACCTGCCCCGCACGAGCAGTTTAACAGCTGTGTATATGTATATGCAAATATTTTTATCGGAGCTTTCTTTGAGATTTAATTTATAATTTTCTGTTAAAACAGAAAATATAAAGTCAAAACATTACAAAATTTATTAAACTTATGTTACATATTCCATAGCGAAGTCAACTAATAACTTGAACTACGTTTCATTCGTAACAGATTAATTCACAATCTAGGTGAAGGATGTAACATAAAACAGAAAGTTAAATAATTTAAAAATATTTATTTCTAATAGGCAACTACATAATAGGGTTTACACAAGTTTAATGATGAGCGAATAATGGAGTTGCGTGTATGAAGGGAGCGTGCGCAATTGGGGCCGCGTGGACAATTGGAGCTGCATGAACAATGGGTGCGGCGTGGACAATGGGGGCGGCATGAACAATGGGGGCTGCATGAACTATGGGCGCAGCATGAACAACGGGTCCTTGAGGAACAGGGGCTGCTTGCGCTGATGGTGCCGAGTTGTGGACGACGGCATTGAATCTGAGAAAAATATATAAATATATGTGTATTTACATCATTGACTACGAAACACACGGATAGAATAAATGAAAAAAATAACGAGATTGATGAAGAATCTCAATTTAAATAAAATATACAAAATTCTTAAACAGCGCCATCAAGAACTACTATATGGTATTAATAAAAATTCATTAGGCCTTTGTAACGATATTTGTCCTCTTCGAGTGATCATAGGATACAGATATGTCATACTAAGTACAAGATAATGGTTACTATGTTTATTATTTATTACTACATTTATTATTATTTCATGTTGATTGCTGCAAATACCCATTGCCACATTAAGTTCTTTACTTTTGACACAAATTAAATAACAAACTATGCCCACTATTTCATTGAAGATACACGTGCTTCGATGCGTTTGAAACTAGTCGATTTTATCAAAGTTATTGTCCGAAACAACAGTTGAACTACGATCGGGCGATCCATAAATTACTGTGATTTTAAGATTATCTGCGTGTTGTTAGTTTCGCTTGCTTGGAAGTTCTTTGTTGTTTTACGATTCAGCCTTAAAGTATCCGAAACAGTTATTTCACAACTTGAAAGAAACGTTTTGGATATCTTAAAAAATAATTACTTTGTAAATCTATGATTTCAAATTAATACATTGCTTAACATGTGTAAACACTTAATACTTACTTTTTAAATTCTTTATGGTAATCATTTATCTATGAAGACGGTTTCCATTACCAGATTTTTCTTGGTAGTGGTAAGTGTTGAAAGAACGTCGCATCAATCTGTTTTGTAATATACTGAGGAAGGGCAGCCTTAAAACGTACTTACATATATCTGACGAACTTGTAAGATAAATTTGCGGTGATAAATTGAAAGAAGAGAAAGAGGTGTATAAGGATAATCGAAAAAAAAAAAAAAAAACAAACAAGACCATTAATTAAATTATGTATGCACTTTCCTTAGTACAATTATTTTACTTAATGTAATTTTTGTAATAAGTGAGTACATACGCGCCTAGACGGTTTTGGTAGATTCTAACTGAAGAAGGATATAAAACAACTTCCATGTAATTGCGTCAGCTAATACGAGCAGTTTAAATAGCAGTTTACCAATACAAAATTATTATAAATCTTACCCTGAGTGGTCGTCTGCGGTATATTCAACCCTTCTGACAGAACCATCGGGCTGTAGGAGTGAGTACTCGCCTTTCACAACATCACCTTCACGGGTCTCGTGTTGGGATTTGTGGTCACCAGTGTGTGGATCTTCAACCGAGTAGGAAAACTCATAATGTGCTGGTGCCTGTAATAAAAAGTCAATAACATACCCAAAAACTAAAAAAAAACTGATCATACTGTAAATAACTGAAATGATATTTCATAATAAACGACTGTTTAAAGCATTGAATAATTAATGGATCGTTTGTGATGACCAATGATACGGCGCTTACCAAACATTATTATGGCGAGAAGCTTGTACACTAAATAATTAATTGGGTTGTAACAAGCGAGCATGTTGCAATCGCAATGCGTGGGCCTTTCACTTTCTTTTTAAATTTCATTTTTAATAGTTTTTTTAACAAACCATGAATTCATTCGAAATTCAAAATTCATAACTCTTTTTAAAAGCGGAACTAATTGCTAAACAACTATTTTCTATTTGTAAAAGTTGCATTATTTGGAGGCACTAAGGTTGTTAAGCTACCTTTGATGTTAACTACCATTAAGTTATTTTACATACAAAGTCTCATAGACATATTTATCGGATGAGATACACTTGATTAGTTAATGAATTTAATGTTTATAAAGCCTATTGCCGTCTCTGCATGCGGATGTTATAAATATGAGTGTATATAAAACAAAAGTTACTTAGAAAGTTTTGTGAGTATGTATGTATCTGAATATTTATTTTAACCTTATCAAATGTTATGCATTGTTATACGAAACTATTTACGGATTTTATCGCGTTTAATTTTAGTTTAACCCTTCCAGCGTTCATGGTCACGGGACAGACGGACAGAATTAACAAATCTAATTAAACGCGATAAAATCCGCAAAATAGTTTCATTTGAAAACGTATAAAATTCGCGTAAAAACAAGAAATCAATAGATCTTATGCAGTTAGTGTGTTACTTACACTCTCCTCAATTTGTTCAGTACGCCCAATAGCCGCGGGGGCATGGATTGCTGGAGCAACGTGTTGGACAATTGGCGTTGCCTGGCCGATGGGGACGCTGTGCTGCAATATGGCGGAGTGCTGCTGGAGAGGAGCCGAGTGTTGAACTACGCCTGCCAGATGGGCGATTCCAGAGGCAGGCTGGTCGTGACGGAGGATGCTTTGCAAGGAAACCGCTTGTCCATGGCCGTCGTCCGCCAGCTCAGCTTGGCACGCCGCTAGCAAAACAGTGATTGCTGCGATCTGAAAATAGTTAAGAGACTTGGTAGAATTGAAGCGAATAAGAATAAAATATATTTGACTTATGTTACTTGATCGTTGTGTTAGATTAAACACTGTTATAAGCACTGTTGAAAGTAAACTTCCTTTACAAAAATGCGTTTAATTTTTATAGAGGGTAAGGAATACAATAAAAAATGGTTTTGTCCTGTTATTTAGTGAAGAACATTAATTGAGTTTCTTCCGGTCAGACTCGAGAAATTATTGTGAGGTTTTTCTTTAAAATTTTGCTATATTGTATTTATTGGATGTAAAATATCTCACTTGAATGTACATGTTGACGAGGAGTTGTGAGCTCAATTGATAAGACACCCAGGTTGACAGTACTTTTTATACTTTAGGGAAGCGGGCATGTGTCATCCGATCCGGTGAAACCGGCTAGGACATGACACCAGTGCATACGATCGCCTTATGTATTACATCACAGCGGCCATTTTTTGGGTTTCGTTCAAGGTTAAAGCGAATCTGTTCCCAAAAAGCTTCCCATCATTGCTTTCGAAATAGTGATCATCATTCATTTGAGTCCATTTCGTCCGTCGTGACCTAAATAATTAGGCCGCGATAGGCAGAAATTGATTTTGCACCCCAATCAATCAATCCTCCCCGTTTCGTTCAGTCTCTTTTGCAGTTATCGCAAGTTCATTATGCACATATGTTTAACCGCGGCTTCACAGTTTTGTATACGACATAAATTTTTCATTGCTATTGCATTACAATGCGGATCGTTTTCCTTGTGGGTGAGAGTAAAGATTTTAAAATTTTGCCTAATTTATTTGTTATATGTCTGTAAGCCTTATTCTATTAACTTATTTGTTCATTTGTATAAGTATTCATTTTTGTTTTTGAACCAGAATTAAAGTTTTATATTAGGTATATTCCATACACAGATATCTGTAACTCAGAGACATACAAAAGTAACTCCACATTTTTCAAAATTATTTTTTCTTACACCATTAAAATCGTCCTACGACTCCTAATTAATAAAATATGCAATCGTATCGATATCATAATCCATAATGCATTCAAGGATTAATTGACGCATTTTTGCCTCTCCTGTAAAATTTGTGTTTTGTTAAATAATGCTGTTTACCTCTGAGGTTACAGCTTTTATCAGATTTAAGACAGATATATTTGAAAACTTATAATATGAAAACGTGTTATAATATATAAGTCATTAATTATTTGTCGGAATTAAAGTAATAATTATATTTTTATTAACACTTTCTTTTATATTTCATTCTTCTTTATGTTTATCACGTTATAGGTGAGTATGTTCTATGTATGTTCTATCTATTGTGATAAATAAATGTCTTTAACATTACGGCTTAACGCGGTTTCGTAGTGACTGATAAGTTAATTATAATATTGGAGATGAAGTTTGTAATTATTAATTTATTGTATTTTAATCGATTTCGAATATGCAGAAAAAAATCAAACTATTAGCATACCTTTAAAAGTGTAATACACGAAATTGAATTTATACATATGTAAAAAGCATTACATTGAATTAATATAGGGCAACTTTATTACTGTAACATTCGATTGAAAAAAGCCGATGAGCTTGCTTGTAATTACAGTTTTACTGTTCACCTTCGAATTTCTTACATCATTTAGTATCGAGCTTTTATGAAGATGCAATCGACATATTCAGATATAACAAAGGATGGAAGTTCCATCTTTTCTTAATTCTAAGGACTTAAATTAATTTCGTATTAGATGCTATTTTAAAATGATAAAGGTTTATATAGGTACCAGTCATTTGTAAAAACAAACAGAGACATTGGAAACTCACTTAAAATCAGTCTCCTTACTACCTAATGCTTAAAAAAATGATAATTTTTTTACGTGAAAAGTTGCCAAGCGAACAGACGGTTCACCTGATGATAAGTAAATACCGCCGCCTATGGACATTTGGTACACCCGAGGTTTCCAGGTACGTTGACAACCTTTTGGCTTCTGGCTATCTCACTCACCAAATGAAACGCGAAACTATTATACTTTCACTTTACGCAGATCTTCTCGATGTCGTGGTACTTACCCGGACGAGCCTGCCCATTCGTGCAACAGCCGTGGCTGCTGCGTGGCCCTCCCACCCTAAAATACGCCGCATATTAAAAATAAAAAAAACTTGTTGGTTTTTATGGTTCCGTACCCAAAATCGACAAACCCTATTACAAAGATTCCGCTGCCTGTCTGTCAGTCTGCCACCAGGCTGAACCGCGATAGTTAAAGAGTTCATTGCTCACTTTTCAATCGTATTACTTTGAAATATAGTAGACGAACAATTAAAACTGGTAGTCCGTCTCAATGTCAGAAGAATACACTAAACTAGAAAATCTTGAGAAAATGTAACTGTATTTTAATTAGAAAAAATCTTTAATCCGTATTATTATTTCGTACGAAGGCTTATGTCCCACATAAAATGCTCATCCACCGGCAATAAACCGGTTACATAAATTATACAATATACTTATCCACTGTATGGCGAGTGCAGACGTACGGGCCAGTAAGAAAGTGGCGTACTGGGTTGCACCAAGTGCTCCAGTAAACTGTTACGCAATGACCATAACTCGCGACACAGTAGATGAAATAAAGGAATTGCTTTATGATCTTCAGTAACTATTATTATAATCATTATGGACAAGCATGTCCGAGTGGAAATGCAAATAACTGAGTTGAATACGCGATTTGGATTTCCACTCGGTTCCAAAGATATGACGGTTAAGAAAATCTAACGCATTGATATTCTAGAATTTGAAGACCATACCTTAGCAGAATGTGTCTAGCATGTCATGGCACTAGTTGGACAAGTAATCAATAATAATGTATTAATAATCTAAGATACATTTTTTATTTTTTTATATAAATATTTCTTTTTTATCTTTCCGTTTCATCAATGGAAATACAACATCAATACAGAGGTTTCGGGAGGCTGAGTGTGTATATATCGATCTATGTACTGTACATCGAACGCCCAACACGATCTTTGTGTTGCGGAATGTCGTTTTTGCCATTCATTAATAGTTCTGCAAGGGTACAATCGGAAAAAAATCGTAATTGCCACTCTCCGGATTATTCTTAGCATTTTTTTTGAAAGAAGTTATAAATTTACTGATCGAAATCACCGAAAAACCGACCGAAAGCTAATATAATTATACGTCGCACATAGATTCATGTCGCAATTTTCTCACAAAAACATACAAGCTTCTTGCAAGACACGTGTGTTAAACATGTGTAAAGAAAATAGTTAACAGCATTTACATGTCCCACAGCTGGGCAAAGGTCTCCTCTGAACAGAGGGTATCAGGGCATAGTTCACCGCGAAACCCCACTGCATAATTATTGGCAGACTTTTTTTTTGATACCGTTTCGAAACTATGCAGCTCTCTCCTCACGATGTTTTCCCATCACCGCTGAACACGTGATAAGTCGGCACTTAAAATTTACAATTTCATTGATGCTGACACGGAGATTTGAATTCAGGACACTGAGCTATCACGACTCTCAAAAATGTCAAAAATCGTAAGAAACCTTAATTAGGCATAAAAATGTTTCGTGCATCGGATTCGTATCGTCGACCTCAGTTCGAAATCGGACTTGACACATCTGGACAATAACCTATTCATTAATATATTCAAATAGTGGTAAATATATTCAGTAAAATCATTATCACTCATTGTTGATAAGATATAGGAATAAGAAGTAAAACATGAGCTACCTGAACATGCCGTCGAATTCAATGCAGTACCATTACTTTCAATTTCCGCTCTGAATAAATCACTGGCCATTAACCTAAAGGAGAATGCGTGTAATTTGCCAGATCTCCGTGAAGGCCACGTGTGTACGTTAAAATATTGAAAATTGTAATTGATATAATGTTAAAGTGTTAGTGTTATTGCTGATCTGATCTTGGTTTACTAATTGAATTTATTTTACTTTGAATAGTGTGAATTGGGTTTTAAACATTGAAAAACGCAATCAAACAACTTACTTTAATAAAGAAAATATTTTATACGGAAATTTAAAGATCTAAAAAAATATCACCTTTAAAATAGGAAGGTGTACACAAAGTATAGGCCTGCTTTTTTATTTAAGAAGTACTCTGGTCTAAAAGATTAAACATGATTGAATATAAAATTATCATTATCGTGTACTTAATATCCTCTTGACACCTCGATTAGTGATAGAGTATTTTGTAAGAACTAACAAATAGTTATTACTATAATCAACGTAAGAAGCTTACACGACAATCACATGTAGCCTAGATATAAAGTAATAACGCATTGAAATATATTAAAAAAATGTTGAGTTTCAGAAATTCGGAATTGGCGGTGTAATACGAGTAAAATATTCCGTACAATCCTGAACGGCTTCCTTACTCTCCTAAATTATACATTATTAGAAACCAAAAGTACCTCAAAATTCGATTTCGTATTAATTTGTAAGATTTAAAAATGGTGTACTGATCACATCGTTTTAGAATTGTGGTAGTGAATGTCCAGTATAAACAATACTTACTGTCTAAGAAAGAATTGGTATGTAATACGCAAAGTGGGATTACAGCTTACATTTTTTTTTGCCACTTAATAAGTAATTTATTGGCTTCCATATTTTTCATTAAAACATAAGGACAGTAAACATATCCAAAATTTGTAACTGGCATCTAATAGCTACATGAATATGTCGGTATATTCAATATGCACAAAATATTAAAATTTTGATTGACTATTATGCAAAAACTTACTGAGTGATGCATGTTGAAGAGGAACCGACACAGATTGCTGTGACTAGAGAGTGTTACTGTCGTTAGATCAAAAACCACGCAATCAAATGCAATCTAACCAATTTTAATATCTGTGTTATGGAGTTAATGAACAAATGTATTAAAAGATTGTGTTACGCGGCCTGTTTTATTTGTTATCGGAAATGGTATGGATTCATGGAGCTGAAATAACAGTCATGTTATAGTTTTGATAAAAACTTTATAATGTCTAGCAAGTAATAAATATGTATGGACGGTGTAAAATATTAAGTTTATAAATAATTAATATACTTGACGCAACGTGATGACGAATTGTACCAATATGTATTTATGTACATTTTCTATTGCTTGATAATGGCTTTCACGATAAGAGTGATAGAATACACTTTTAATATTTTATTTGTGGGATCAAAACCGCGAGTTTCTGAACATTACATTTATGACACATAGGTAAACTAATTCTTATCCCTTATTTACGGTCGCGCTGTTTTTAAGAGTTGCGTAATTTATCGATTATGTTACACACTGCTATCATTATTAACTGTCAAAAGGGAGGGAAATACGAATACTCGCCCGTAAATAATTATTGCAACCATAAATTTTACATGCCGTCGTTTAAATTCGAAGGTAACAGTGACCTATCGCAGATGATGCCACTAGCAATTACCTGTTTCCTTTTTATTCGTGATGTCCTCAAACCGCTGTTAATTTAAATCATTGTAAGTATGACGATGTATGTATATGCCATACACGTTGATTTAAACATGAAAAAAAATATTTATTACTTTGACAGCTCCTCTAGATTCTATGAGAGAAATTAAATCATTGAATCACTTTCAATGTGAGATATCGGAGTGGTGTAGTTTATCTTTTTTTTCAATGTTAACAATATTAAATGAATTTTATTGTTTATTCACAGACTATAAATAAAAAATACAGAGATTAACTATCAATTTGATTAGTTACTTATATCTTCAAGGAACTTGTTTTGCGTGTGTACAATATAATATAAAATTCGACATTTAAATAGAGTATATTTAGATTTTCTATAAAACGTAAGCTATGTGGTTCTATAAACAACATAGCTCACGTGTTAACAATCAAATTTTGAAGATGTAAGATTGTATTAAAAATTAAAGTTTTTATTTTTCATATCTACATAAGTATAAAATGTGAAAAAGGACAAAAGCTACATTATAAACAAAGTCTATACTATCTACTAACTTGTTTTATTCATTAATTTGTGTAAATTTTAATAATTATTTATGTCAATTTTATTATCATCAATGGCTTCATTCAGATTTCTAATGATACAGTAGTCAGATATAGGCGAAAGCATCCTGAGTGAGTTGTTGCCGTTAGTTACTATTCGTATCACTTTCACTGAGTACCGTGTAAAGCATAGGATATTAAAATGTACTATTTCAATTCTGTTGCGTTCTCACGTTTCTCTACTATTACATTTGTATTCTAATTAACACCTACGAAGGATTCTTGGCCCGATATTGCGATGTTATGTTTCGCATTTTATTGCGGCCAGTCTAAAACGTTCAATTGTTGTCTTCTCATTTCATAATATCCGTTTAGGCAATAGCTCACGTACGTTGTTAAGAACTGCCCATAAGAGTTTAAGATTTTGAAATAATTACTCGTTGCGTAATGTAAAACTAAAAGCGTTTTTCTTGAAAGATTTAAAATTATCTTAGGCCAACAATATTGTTTATTTTAAGCCGAGGGAAAATATAACGTTTTACAACTCAAAAGAAGGAACTGAGTTGTAGAAGACAGCAATTATAATAGTTATAGTATCTAAGAGTTAAACTATCTAAGCAGTCATACCATATCTGTGTCAAAGAACCGTAAAAAGTTTATTAGTTTATTTTAAATTAACGTCTACCAACGGTACGGGAGATCTTGTGTATTGAATAAAATTAGTGAAATGTGAGAACTTAATTGTACTATTAGAGATTATTATTAATATCACAGGTTGTGTATGCAGCTTCTAGTGATGATGGATCACTGGCGGTGTGTTATGCACGATGGCGTTAAATCTGTGGATGAGATATATACTATTAGTGAATACAATTAATTCCAATAGTAAAAAGTTTAACTTCTGATTTTAAATTCTTATTGTTACATTGTACATACACATTTTTTATTATGTACACCTATTCATATGATTGGTTTACATTAAGAATATTAAATTGATTGATTAATTCAGTACTTTATTTGAGTTATGAAACTGTATGCTGTTATTTAATCATATTTTTTTATAATCTGAATGTACACAATAAACACATTTTGTGTGTCAACGTTTAGGACTTAGTAAAGTCAACGAAATGTGGATGACTATTGCTGACCTGCTTCTTCCATCCCGACGTGAGAGCTTTTATTTTTCTATATTAAATTTTTAGTATTGCATTATTTGAAATACCACATTTCATCTACTGAAATAGCAGTCTTTGCTATTTTATATGGCAATATTTGTGTCTTGGCCAAAAAGCTGCTGTTCTAATATGAGTGTAGATTAGTTTTTACCCGTTATGATGGTCAGCCGTGTAAGTCACTTTACGGAAAGAACCATCAGGTTGCAGGAGGGAATATTCGCCTTTCACGACGTCTCCATCGCGTTCCTCGTGCTGTGACTTGTGGTCTCCAGTATGAGGATCTTCTACAGAGTATGAGTAACCGTATTTAGGATGAGCCTGTAATAATGTATATTTTATTAAAAATAATATATTCACTATTTACTAACTGGATTCATTCATGACACGTAAACGATCCTTTTGAAAATATTGTTTGGAATAACATTATGTAGCAGCATTAGTTGAGAACTTTTGAAGTTATGACACAACCTACTATAATGTTAGCTTACTGGAAGTAAATAAATTATCTTTGTCATATGACAAATATCAGACACACATAATATTGGAATACATATGACGGGATCTCAGTTAACTGTGCGTCACGGCCTAAAAAAAGAATGCCGTTATAGTGTTTGATAGCGCGACGCCGGTACATACGTATTACGTATTTACACTCACGTATTCGCCAACATAGTGGTCTTCAGTACCATAACCAGAGTAAATTGAAGGCGCGGCGTGGACTGAATGGGATGCAGTAACCGCTGGAGCGCTGTGGACGGCAGCAGAATAGTGGGCCGGGAGCTCGTGTTGGATGTTTTGCTCATGATGAGCGATATTATGCGATGACACTGCTGGACCATGGTGCAACAGACCCGCCCGGCAGGCTGTCATTACAGCGCAAGCTATTACTATCTGAGTAGAAAAAAAAATTGTTAAATCTAAAATGTTGCAAGACGCACATGTAGAATGATTAATTAATGTCTCAATTTGGAGTTTTGTACCAAAATATATACTTTCTTATATCTGTTTAAATTGTTTTGTAAATTATTTCAGCTATAATTTAAATGGCTTACTTTAAAGAACATTTCGCTTGGATTCAAATGCTATAACGACTGGTGTCGCCTTAATAGTGCACTCTTTTTATATAACAAAGAAAATATAAGCCGCACGTAGTGGGGGTCTATTCCTGACGATATCCGATCGGATCACAGTAATTGCCGCATTGCCAATCTGCTCACTTTATTGAGTGTCGCAACCAGCGGCATGACCACAGTATGTACAGAGAAAATGTACATTAAGTGAGAGGCTAAAATTGTTACACTTTTTTGTTGTCGTTGAATCCGAGGTTGTTAAATTAAAACTAAGATACGAAGATGACATTACATAATTATAATCCTTGCAAACCAGTAGTTATGGTATTACATGAACTTTTATGAATCTTAAGTAGTATTATTGTAAAGAGTAATTCAAATGAGAATGAAAAATAGTATTAACGTCTGTCATGACAATCAACTGCGGATATTTGTTTTTGAAATCCCAGTTTTATTAGGGTTCCGTACCCAAAGGGTTAAACGGGACCCAATTACTAAGACGCCGTTGTCTGCCTGTCTGTCCGTCTGTCACCGGGCTGTATCTCATGAACCGTGATAGTTAGACGGTTGAAAATTTCACAGATGACGTATTTCTGATAACAACAAATACTAAAAAATAAAATAAAAAATATTTAAGTGGGGTTCCCATACAGCAGACACGATTTTTTTGCAGTTTTTATAGATAATGGTGCGAAATCCTTCTTGCGTGAGTCTAAATCGCACTTGGCCGGTTCCGCTACAATAGTTTTATTGCGAAGCAATAGACGGTCCGGGGGTTCAACTCCTTCATAAGAAGAAGACTTACAAATAGTTCCGGATCCGGAATTATCTACTCGTATATTAGTTATACTGAAATACGACACAACAAACACTTATGTTTCTGCTGTTTAATTTGTGTTCATTAAAACACGTCTACAATAAATGATAATCTTATTCCACTGCAGGAGTAGTGCTACTTTGCGTACACAAAAATATCTGTTTTATGGTTGTTTCCATCATTCTTGTGATATCACAAATATTATTATTGTTTCAGTATGATAACATTTTAATTTAATTCATAATAACTTTTTTGAAGACGTTAATTCATAATAATTAACATTTAATTCATAATAACTTTTTTGAAGACGTTAAAAGGCTAAAGCTATGAAGTTAAAAGAAAAACTGTTTGATAGTCAGAAGTTTAGTCATTAAATTTTAAAGCTAATTATGCCTTTAATTTTCTCGCAAAAAATATGTCGTTCGATAAGATAATTTGGTTACATCAAGTTACCAAGTTATGCTATATCATAACATATTAGTATTTACCATTAGTGAAAATGAGGTATTGAATGAAATAAAGCATCTTATTAATTGAGAAAGGTAGAAAATTTATATTAGTTAAATAAAATTGGGGTGTGAAACTTTTTTTACGATTTCTGTCTGTCGGTCTATCTGTCTGTTTGTTTAAGCTAATCTCTGAAACGGCTAGACCGATTTTGACGGGAATTTCACTGACAGATAAGTGATATAATAAAGAGTAACTTAGGCTACTTTTATTTATTTTAAATTCCACGCGGACGAAGTCACGGGCACAGCTAGGTGTATATAAATTATCAAAAAAATAAAATAAAGGTATTATGTGAGTTAGCGGCTGGAATGTCCAACAAGTCATCCCAGGTCGCAGGTTCTGGTCCAAGCTCCATAGGAATATATTTAAAAGCGTGTTTGGTTCACGGTGATAAGCTTATCATGTTTAGGACTAAATAAGCTTCGTTAGACGTTGATACCACTAGTCCTCTCAAAGTTCCACGTCAAAATGCGTGGTGATTTTGTACATTTAATTTCAACGAAAAGTCAACCTCATACGAGTCTTAACTTCTGAGCATGAGCACTTGTAGATATAGTAAATGCTCGTGCCCGTGTTTTAACCTCAATTAAGTAAAGATCTCAACAGAAATATGCGCAAAATTTTGCGATTTAAAATCAAGGTATTACAAGTTTGCGGTTGGCAAATGCCTAGCAAAGTTATGTCAGAAAATGAAATTGTGCATTCAGTGGTGTGTTAAGTCTGCCTGTGATCTCGTTATCAAATCCCTTACGTAAAGCTAATAAACGCCTTGAATATATTATAAGATATTTACTTTACTTTGTTACCCAACAGGCCCTAGTGGTATTGTGTTGAATGATGCATTACGTGTGGACCTAGTGTGTTTCAAGATACATGCATTGTCTATACGATGGATTGTGAACGCAGATAGTAAATGTGTATTTTGAATCAAAACTGTTTTAACATGCTTTTATTTTGTCACGTTTTGGGTAGGGTGTATACCATTACGTATTTCAAAGCAAAGTCTTACTTTAAAATGGCACAAAGGCCTGAAAACATTTAACTGTAACATTTGTATCCTTATTTCACGTCGTTTGTTTTATGACTAATGTCAAAATTTATAATTTTCGTCAGAGGCCTTTCGAGCGCTCTACATTTTATATAACGTCTGCTATTGAATTTCATTTCCTCATGTGGCTCCCAACGAAATTTAAGCATTTAATTTCTCAGCTGCCATGGTTTATATTTGTGTAATATTTGACTAACTAAAAATGGGTCTATTGTTCTTGAAGTATTTTCTTGTTTAAATTCTTTATTTAGTTAGTAGCTTCATACATAGATATCCGTCACCACGCCACCCGTCAGGTGTTGCAGAGGAGATCATTTAACACCAGGTGAACTTAACACCGTTTGCTTACTTCTTGATTTTGTCACATAAAAGAAGTGCATCGTTTTTACAAGTTTTTACTGAAACGATGCCCTTAACGTCGTAAACTATACAACAGCTTCAGGTGAGATATAACTACTGGTCAAAACACTTTTCTTTAAGGAAATTAATTTTGCCATGTCAGGTGCCACGAATTTTATTGAATTGAATTAATCATATTTGCAAGGTTCAAGTTCACGGTGAATTGTTTAGCGGCCTTATGTCACTATGGCTCTACCTTTAATATATATACTCAATATTTTTATTTATTTATTAAAGGAACGAATATAAAGTCATGTTTACAATATTTATAACAATAATTTTTGAAAAACATTTACATGAAAAGAGAGCCATCTAGCGTGCTCTACCGCATATTCGTAATATTTTTAAGTTCGATGTTTCTTTTTCTACTTGCGGCCAAAGAAATATAGAGGTCATTATTATTTATAATCAAAATTTAATAAAATATTAAAATAAGAAATTAAATAGAACAAAATAATTAAAAAATAAAATTGTAATAAGCATTAATTCCATTAAAATCCTACATAATAAATTCTTGAGAAGTATGAGAAGAATGGTTTAATTTACTTAGGTGTTGATGTTCATCTGATGTATTATTTTCTCTTATGCTATTTCCATCATTGTTTTCAGAAATTTCTGATAGATGATTGTTGTCTGTAGAATTTTCTGTCGTAATGTAATCAGTGGTGGAAGGTATCTCAGTAGGCATTATTTCCATCAATGGACCTTCTATTGTTTCCATTTTCAGTATTGGAATGTCATTGTCGGTGGTTAGTTTTGTCGAGGGGTCCTCATATTTTGGTTGTATAGTTATGCTTTCCGTATCAAGAGAAATGTCAGAGCTATTATTGTTTTGGAAAGTTTCTTCCATTATTTCTTTTATCGGTTTTCTAGTTAAATTTGCATCTGAATGAATGTCCTTGGGAGGTGTGTAGTCCTTTTTTGGGAAGAAGTGATTAATTTTAACACCATGACCAATTGGCAGAAACTGTCTCGTGTGCCCAAAGGTTGAGATAGCCCCATCTCCATGTTTTTGGACACTCGTACTTACAATAGCGTGAAATCTGTAAAATTATTTAAATGTACATAATTTTCGCATCAAATTTATTGAAACTTTCTAATAACAGTTGCAATTAGTGCCTTGTTGTTAAATTTGATCAATTCGTGTTCATATTTTCACTAAAATTGTTAGGTCTCAAAATCGATATATCTCCCTAGGTGTATCCCAAATAGATGTCTCTGGTAGGTTGAGGACAAGTGTGGTTTTTACGTGAAAATAATCCAAATAAAGAATTTAGGATAGCTTACAGTACATTGACATGTGCTAATAGAACGTTGGTGCCTTTGTTTGATTTATTTAAAATGAATATTACATGTTACAGTTATTGTGAATCATGAACTATTCATTTTAGCCTTGAGAGTTTAATAAATTTTTAATATATAATTGGACGATTATTTTTTTAACATTTTTTTATTAGCAATAAAATGTTATAAAAAGACGAGTCCAATATAAGTCCCAATCTTTATTTTATATTCATGACCTGCTATTTTACTTGTAAGTACTTACCCATTATAGTGATCAGCATTATACTGAACCCTTCTTAAAGAGCCATCGGCTTCTATCAGACTGTATTCGCCGTGAACCCTATTTCCATCTCTTGTTTCATGCTGGTGTTTATGATCTCCAGTTATTTTGTCTGATACTGCATACTCGAATTCGTATTTTGGGTAAGCCTAACAAAATTAATATCATTGTAAGATAAAATCTTTTTTTACCATTACATTTATTTGCGAATATAATTCAATTAATACAAGCAGATTTAGAGAAAAGCAAACGTATTTTATTATTATTATGTAAACGTATTTTATCGTATATATACATTTTATTACATTAAACATACTTACATGTGTGTCGTAACTTGGGGGTTGATATTGTTTGAAATATTGCCATCCATTTGAAACACTTGTGGAGTATGCTTTTGAGGCACTTTCACTTGGATCTATAAGCAAAGCTGAACTGACGCTTATCATAATTGCAAGAGATACTATCTGAAAGAAAATTATATATGTGTGATTCAACTTGGGATTAAACTCGTGCGAACATAATACTTCACCAATTAAAACAATTGCATCAAATTAGTAAAGAGCATTTTACACATTATATTGAATTTTGAAATAATATTGTATGTTCAAATTTAAACAAGTTACCTTTGCATTCATTTTTAAGTTGTCTTATTACGATCCTCCACTACTAAAATGGGTTGGCAAACTGTTAAGGAAATGCTCAAATTTTTACCATTTTATACTTTTCTAGAGTACCGACGTTATATAAATCTCTTTAAAACACAATATTAAATAACGACTATAAAAGTTTGTTGGAGTAAAAAGGAATTGACCTTTATCAAATTCTATTATAAATTCAGTTTTTATGTAAATTGTTAGTATTTTAGACATAGTTTTGTACACAATTAATTAAAGATGTTAAGATAGTTTTATGAAAAGTGATTATTATTACATTTATTGATTAATTTCCTGATGGAGTTAAATTAATTTCCACGTCTAATTTTTCTCTAATAGTAACAAATGCTAATCACTGTTATAGTAGCAAATGTGAATTTTGATTAAAACTTCGTGATCTAAAATAAGTTAGAGGCTATGATCTTAAATATGTGAAATTTAAGGATCATATACGTGTGAATTTATACTTAAACTGATGCTCAATTTTTTAAACTAAGAATTCATTATGTAAAGAAACGTGTAAGTTATTGTGTAAATAAAAAATTTACTTGTATGAACATCAGATTATTTTAATAGGACAGATCATCAGACTAATTTAATGTTGTATGCAAACGTAAAATAGTAGTTATTAAAATTAAATAATACACATCGCTATGACTTATCCATGCTATTCCAGTGTCACTGTTTCAGTATACAAGTTATCGTATCAATGTTATCTACAAAAATCTAAAGACGGTATTAGAGAATTCTTTCTTTCTATTTACTTTTAAAGAAGGGGAGTGTTGGTACAATGGAATCAAAATGAAGAGGCAAATCAAATGAAACTGGAGATTGTGTATTTTAAAACAATTTACACTGTTGTTTATATTATAAAATTAATAAATAGTTTAAAAATAATATTTGTAAGTGATTATAAAGTTATTGTTTACTTATTTTCTTTTTTTAATACTAATTTCATATTTAATAAATATTAATTATTTTTTAAAATGAGTATTGTTTATAAATAAAATGAAAACGCAATTAAATCGGCTGTTCATTTCTAGATGATTTTGAGAGAAGTTTTCCCTTTACGCGAAGTGAAATAAAATGTGAGAGAAAATAAATAATAGTTAAACAACACAGATTTTTTTTAAATTCAAAAACTGGTTAACACTCGACTGCCATCCCAACTGATGGTAAGTGGCGATGCAGCCGTCGATGGTAAGCGCGTTAGCTCAGTAGAAACCTATTCACTCTTGCCTTGACGCCAACGTTGTATTCGGACAGAAAGACGACCGCCGGCAGGCCATTCCTTAGCTGTACGGATGATAAATGAAGAAGCGAATCGGTTTGTTCTTGTACGTGGAACGTCGACAGCATAAGGGTGGAGCCCCGCCGAACACCTGGTTATTCGATTTTGGAAAGGGCGGGAGGAATAAGATCATGCAACTCCAACGCTCACTCTCCAAAACGTATTGTTATGTATTGGAATTATATTGTTCCATTATGACCAATTAATTTTTAAAAACACTTCCTAGATTCTATCGTAATTCAGTATTTCCCAGTATACTTACGCACGCATAGGTACAACAAAAAGTTAATACTGAAAAATGAAAAATTAATATTCACGTTGTTTTGATGACTTAGATTTTTTTTTATGTTCAGGGTTTAGAATGAGACCAAGAAAAGTTCGGATTTACTGTGTGTATAATGACGTGTTTGAAAGAGCCTTATCAGACGTATCAGTTCTGACCTCTTTCAAATTCACTTCACTTTTAGAAGAACATAATAATTGTGTACAGCCTACTTGGTCATGAGCAGGAGAAAGAAGAAAAATAGTAATGTGAGTGAATAACTTTTTAAATTGTATGTAATTTTGAGATGCTGTACATGTTTGATGACGTTACAGAAATGATATGGCCCAAAATTTATTTAATACGTTCAAAAATGTGTTAATCCTTTTATTCAGTATATAAAATATATTTCATTTTAAGCCCGATGCTCCCCTAAATTTTAGAAGTACGAAGTACGAAATTTTGCAAAAGAGATTGGGTGCCGTGTTCGAGATTATCTGACAATAAAATCTATTGAACGCAATAGATGAGGTTGTTCTTTTATTACAGCCAATTAAAGGAATATAATCTTGTTTCTTTTTCAATACGATTTATAAAACTTATTGCATATGTGTCGTGATATGTATTAATATCTTTATTTAATAAAAAAGTCATCATACACGTTATCCGATACATTTTGCTCAGTCAGTCCATAAGTCAGCGTAAGTTAATTGAAACATTAGAGATACAGCAAATCACAACGTTTTGCAGTAAATGAAATAAATATATTGTAAATCTTTATTGTAGTAAAGGTGGAAATAAAGAATTTAAATAATTTTATATTAAGATACATTTAAAAGGATTGATTCTCTTTAGACGCGTCTATCATCGTCTTTGAGACTGTAGTGAGACATGCAACAGTTCACTGTTGCACTAATGGGGAGGTCCGTCGGAGTCCTCTCAGAATACCGGCGAAAAGTAGAAGTGTTACAACTTCTGCATTTCGTCTGGTTAGTGAGGCAGCCGGGGCCCACATTATTTAAAGGTGGCAATGCATTTGCAACCCTTCGGGAGTTGCAAAAGTCCATGCGTGGCGGTTGTCACTAGTATCCTCTTTCGGCGGTTCTATCAATCGACATTAGTTTACACGGTTTTCATACCCCAGCTTAAAGTTCTTATTTTGATATTCATTTTGGTAGAATTATCCAGAAAAAAATGATAAAAAAATTCCGTCACGTCTGGTTTAAGAAATATTTACTAACTTAACTGAAATACATAATTTTGATATTAATACAAAAAATATATTAAAAATGACAAATTTTTCCATTCTTTTTGAAACAGTTTCTCTTATAATGGATTAACAGTAATCCTCTAACATGTTCTCATTGCGAACGAATAAACAATAAACTGTCGTCACCAAAGTTAAAAAAACATTTGACTGCAGGAAGAATTTGTGACGTGTGATTTTTACTAACACTTTTTGGTTTAAGAAAGGTAGATTAACATATTTATATATATTTATTTTGGGGTATAAAAAAAGTTTAATTTTGTAAACTAGTGTAATTTTAAAATCTTAAAATCTAGGAGTTCAATCTTTCAAACAAACACCCAGATGTGGAACAACTATCTGTGTCACAAAAATAGTTGTCCCGTGTGGGAATCGAACCCACGAACCGCGACGTCGAAGCCCAAAACCTTTTTATGGAAAAAAAGGCTGATGACCGTCGCCCACACGAATCCAGAGAATTTGCCGTTTCTTTGATGTAGCAGTAGGTACACTACTAAAAGTCCTTACGTCGTTTCGGTCCGGAAATGCAGCTGGCTTGAGCACAGCAGCTTATTGGTTATTAGTACTGCTTAAAGTTATAATCAAACAATCCAATTCATATTGAATACTGTGACAAAATACAATAAAATTTAGGCAAAGATCAGAGCATAACCTTTAGACATAAACAAAAATATTAATGTTTGTAGTCATGGTCAAATTTTGATAAATTACAAAAGTTTCTTGCCATGCCTTGGTGCATAAAAATACAGCTTAATTTAGAGAACATGTTTGTTTTTCGTTTCTGAATGAAATTATGAATTCTAAAATAAGTTGGTCGATTATAAATACCTGTCATCCTCCTTTCCGACCACCTTTAACCATTAGGCACCCGTTCAAAACAAGATCTACGGCCTCGCCCCAGGGAGAGTTTGTCAATAGCTTGGCTACTTATGCACACTTGAACATGTAATTGATATTCTTATAAATATGGGGCTATATATTACCAACGAGTTCTACGCCAATAAATCGATAACTGTGCTTATCAAGACTTCAAGATTTACTCTATTGTTTATTACACTTTCGCCTTAACTCTAACATGTTTCCAACTATTCAATCAATTTCAACAATCGTTACTCACTGATAGCACACGTCGCAGTGTACCTATTTCAATAAATATTTGGACCTTGAACTTTAATGCTAGCTTTCCATGCCAGATACTGTTTAGCGTGAACAATGATCTGCGGTTAGGTCGTTATGATTATTATATTGCGATTTAGATTAAAGTTTGACTCGAGTACATGTTTTGACCTTACGGTTTGAACAAATTTATTCTCATTATACTTATGTTAATAATACCTTTGCTTGTGCTATTTATAATGTTCTATACCGGCATGCTGTTAAATATAGATTTTAAAAATCCTTATGTTTATGAAAATTCTTTACTTTACTTTACTTTTATTATAGAAGATATATTTAAAATAATAAATTTGTTCCATTTAAGATGGTAAGTTGTTATTTCTTTTTAATCTAAGCTTCAAGAGGGTTGGACCGGTTAATTTACCGCACTACCTACCAAAAAGCAGTTACATTAAGTTTAGGTTAAGTTCCCAAAAATTATAGTTATTTATTTAATTTGAACTATCTAACAATATTTAGCTTAATTTTGTGTACAACTCATGTAAAAAAAATTAAGTGCAATGAGTTATGTACCCATAATTAATGTAGGTAATCAGAGCATTCACAATAGTATGATAAATTTTTATAACATAATTGAATTCAGTTAATGAAAACCAAAAAAAAAGGAGAACAAAACATATATTATGTTTTGTTCGCACATTAACGCAACCGGTTTGAAGTTTTTAGATTAAAAGGTTTATCACCGAACAAATCTATAGAGTTGTCCTTCCTTGAAAATTCTTGGTATAGTCTGATAAGACGTAGTAAGATGAAGTGGTGGCTATGATTATTATACAATTTCATTCTCATTATTAAGATAATTGGTATTTACGGACTACGTGATGAGCAGGAATTTTGTGTGATAGAAAATAATTTTCAAATTGTTTTTTGTCTAGTCGGTACTTCTTTGTATACCGACTAATTTATATTTAAATTAGTCGGTAATAATGAATAAATATATTAAATAAGAAATATATATATATATATATATATATATATATATATATATATATATATATTGCAAAAATTTAGAACCACCAGAAAATATTAAAAATCGTGTCACTTATTTGCCACAAATAACTTACTATTAACCTCAAGTCTCTGATAGATGATTTAATGAGAATTTTTTGTAAGGCTATTGAAAAAAAGAGCATTATGTGAAAACAAGACCTAAAGTCAAATTCTACAGATTAACACAGACTTTGGCACAATTATCAATGGAACCAGGAAAGTAATGTCATTTTTTTGTATTTCTAAAGAACATTGCCCTTACTTTTGATTACATTATCCTGTGTTTTAAGGACGTATTACAAATATGAATTTCACGTCGACAATCACCCAGACGGGGAACAACTATCTGTGGATTTCACAAATAGCGCGACCCGGGACGCTGAAGCCAATACTTTGGCAACTGCGCCACGGAGTCATCAAAATTTTTATTTTGACTTCGACTTTGTTAGTAGATATAAAATAAATTCTATATAATTTATGACTTTATTGACAAAATAACTAATAAATTAACATTCGTGGTATTTGCTTAAATTTAGTGCTTGTAGTATAAGGCAGTTGCCGGTGCAGCGTAGGCAGGCGCCTTGAGAATTGCAGGAGTGGCCGTGGGCGCAGTATTGTGCACTACTGCGTTGAAACCATTGTGGTCATCAGCGGAGTATTCCACGGTTCTAATAGAGCCATCGGCTTCGTGGAAAGAGTACGATCCTTTTACTACATCGCCGTCGCGGGACTCTTGCTGAGACTTGTTGTCACCGGTGTGACCGTCAGCAACCGAGTAGGAGTACTCGTACTTCGGGTGCGACTGGAAAGTAAAAAAAAAAAGCTTTAGTATAACAGTAGGTGCTACGTGTCTTTATCAAATTAAGTTCAAAGTTCAAGTGTTCAAAAAGTACACGGGCGATTTTAATCAGTAAACTATTATAGAAAGCCATAAATCGTTGCCATGCTTACACCAAATACGCGGTTAAGGATATCAAGTTGAAGGCATACATATCGAAGGAAAGAATATAATCGAGCAGTTGGATGTATGTATAAACATATATTTTTATGTATGCAGCATTTACTCACGATTTCTTCTGCGCGTTGGGCGAGGATCTTAGTGACAGGTGCTGCATACTGGACAGGGGTAGCTTGGTAGACTGCAGGTGCAGGAGCGGTGTGGTAGGTCAGGGGAGCTGGTGCGGCGTGGTATGAAAGTGGAGCGGTTGCACTATGGTAGGCCACTGCGCCAGGGCCAGCCTGGTAGGAGATAGGGGCTGCGACAGTTAACTTGGCTACTGGAGCAGTCACCAATTTGGCTAAAGCTGGTGGCTGGTCGTGGCGCACGATGCTTTGAGAGGAAACTGCCTCAGCCGGTGAGTAATGCACGGCTGCTGGCAGTAGTCCAGCTTGCGTAATGGCCACAGTGGCACATAGAATTACAACCTGTAATATATAAAATAATGGATTTTTTGTGTACTCTTTTATGTACTTTTTGTTTTGTTTTTGTTATAAGAATGAAATAGTTTACAATTCTCACTATAGAAGTCGAATACCTTACTTTGGAAAACATGGTTGTCTCTTGGTTCGAAGTGAAATGTCGATAAAGTTATTTAATTCATCGTTTATATACATGGCGGGTGGGTACCTACAAATAATGATTAGTAACTTAATTGTACCAAACCAGTGAACCTTGCCCTAGGGTATTTTATCAAAGTAGGCTCAAATAATATTATATATAGCTTTCGATTCTTTTTGGTTTCTTCTTATTACTGTACGTAATATATCAACATAGTTTTAATTGATCAATTTTGAAACGATTTATTAAAAATTAAAAAGTAATAAAATTTAAAAAATAATTACTTTAAATGTTGCAAATCATTAGAAGCTTGTTTAATCTGCCATTTCACAATGATTTAGCACGATTATTCATATTTATAAAAAAGACATTTAGTGCTAATCTCATCTCTAAGTTCATTAAATTTGTACAAAAAGTCTCTCAACACCTAATGAGTCGCTAGAATATATTAAGCCACCGACAATGCTTACCACAAGCAACTCGTTTTACAAGTAAAAGAGATCAATATTTTTTATTATTGAAAGTAAGATAGTTTATATACCTCACCTGCACTTGCTACTCCCATTATCGTTGGATGTTATGAAGCGCCGTGAGCCTATAAGCGTACCGTATACTCAAATGCTATTTCTGTATAGTGTAAATAAATAAAAATAAATATCTAACTGTTGCTTAATGGTGTCACCTGTTTGGCTACTCTATTAGATTACTCTATTAGATATGGGCACCACATGACAAAATAGGAGTATTGTCATTATTTTCTCTCATTAAAAATGAACAGTTGTTCAATGTATTTCAAAACGACGGAAGTTAATATGACGAAAGTGATATTAACTTTTTATATAAAAATTTTAAAAATGAATGCAATAAATGTGAGTGCAATTAGCAAATGCAAAATTTTAAATAAGAATTAAAAACTTAGTAGATAGAAAATAATGCAACTGTAATAGTGCAAGTAGAAAAAAGAAAAGACAAGTTCATAATAGCAATGTTATTGGTTAATTTAATTCATTACGCAATAATTTTAAAAACGGATATCTATTCATTTCAGATGAGTGGCTTATGCAAATTAAATTAAAATAATTATTCCAATTTAACGATATAGATTAATTTGATCCCAAGTAATTTATTTATACACGTCTAGATACATTAGATTCATGTCAATTATTACGGACGTAACATTTCTATTATTTTAAAATTTTTCAACGTTCCAAAATTCTTGATTCTTATTCATTTTCCTTTCTTTTTAATCTTTAAAAAAAAAAAAAAAAACATTTCCCTTACTTTAGGATAACATTATCCTGTGTTGTAAGGGTATTTTACAAACATAAATTGGCAACTGCGCTACGGAGTCATCAAATAGGAATTTCCTTGTATATTTTTTGATTTAGTGTATCTTGTTACATGCGAAAGGAATTGTTTCACAACTAATCAGATTGCCCACCCACTGATCAGTATCATAATGAGGTTAACAGGCCATGAGTTTGAAACTTAATAATTGACAGTGAAATTTATATTCTACTTAACATATGAATATAAAAAAATCTGTGACAAGAGAGCTAATTCTTTTCTAAGTAATGCAGCATTCATTTGCATTCTTTGCACTCATTCATCAGCATTCTTTGCACCATGCCGCGTGGATTATTAGGTTTATTGGATAATATGTAATTTTAGATAGATTTCATGTTGTAAATGTTGGATAAATTAAGTGTATTTCTCATAAATAATCTTATTTTTGAACTTATTTAAAAAAATTAAAAACATTTAATTAATACATTTAACTAACTTAACGTAAACCAATTGAAAAATTTACATTGTTAACATTAAATTTAAGGTACGTGATTTAGATACTTATTGGGTATTGAATATAGTTTAGTTCTTTTATCAGGCGTCTTTAAAAGGTGTGTAGTTTCTGGTTTAAGTAGGAGAGCTTGTGAGGGTGATGGTTTTTTGTTTATCATTTTAGCTTTAATGTTCGATGTATTGACGACATTGAAAGCACGTGCTACATTAAGATGTAGCCTGTATGGTTTTGCGTAAACTAACTGCGGTTGGATTAGTGGTGATTCTTTTTCTGACAATACTCTCTCATTTTTGTAACTGAAAAATAGTGAGTGTTATAGAATTTTTACATAATATAAAAATTAATTCAAATAAAATATTATTATAGATTCACAAAAAACATACAGCTCCTTTTCATTATTGTAGTTTTTTGCCATCAAAGCATATATTGGCTCTGCCCTGGGAGGACTAGTCAGAAACTCCCGGTTACTTATTTCCACATCATTTAGTTCCACTCCATTTATTTCTTCTGTTTGGTATTCATCTTTATGATAGTACTGATAAGGGTTTATGTAGTTAACCTGTAATAATTAATTGATGTTAGTTTTTTAAACGCAAATGTATGTAGTTCAAATAGAAAACTATTTATAAATGCATTTATTATTATAAGAAATATTAATAAAATAAAATTTGACAATTATGAACCTCGAGTTATACCTGATTTAGATTTTCTTTGGTTGTTAACTCAATATTGTTTTTATAAACCACGTTATACGGTGCATTTCCATTTTTTAATTGTGGTATTTGAATGTTATGGCCATACACGAATACATCTTTTGTTTGATCTTGATCCTTCTTACAATCTTCAAGGTGTGGTTCTAAATTAGTATTCTTTGTTTTGAAAGTGTTCAAATTAAACCCAGGAACGGTATACTTCGTATCTACTTTGTTTTTTTCATATAATGATTGATCTTCGGAATTTAAAAATAAGGGTGCGTACTGTATCGAAGCATAACCTTCTTTTTCGTTTCTATCAGCGTCACGTTTAAGTTTAAATGCTGGCGTTTTGCTTTTCATAAACATCGAACCATATTTGTCCGCATAAGAGACTTGATTAGCTTGAACACTTTGGGTTTGTATGGCACAGTTTAAAGCATAAAAATAAACGGTTAAAATAAATTTTAGGGTAACTTTCTGAAATTATAAATTAATTTACAAATAATACACACACCATGTATTAGATATTTGTATAGATTTGTAGCTGTGAATAACTTTAAAATTACTCACATTCATAAACATGCTGTAGCCCAAGTTGCAGGATATTGCAGATCTGAATCAAAATTATCACATGTCACTAATAACTTTAAATTTAATATTATTACTACCAAGTTTGCTTCCGGCGTGTGATCCGCACGATTCGTAGGTGCGGACCTTCCGCTAGCCGAGGCGAGACAATGAAAGCATGTTATAAGTACTCACCTGTATGTTTCAATAGTCGGGCTCCAATTCGATGAGTGGTATCAACAATTATTTCATTCTGATCTATTGTTTGCAAGTGTTATTGAGAAATTATTGCGTCATTGTACTGTTAGTGAAGAGATTGTTGTATATTATTTGTGACTTTTATCTTCTAAAACCTTTTTAAATCTTTAATTTTACAGTTACAGGTGGAGTTTTGGTCCTATTTTTATACATGTTATATATGTATGCCGATGATCTTCAGCAAGTCAAGAAAGAAAGTCGTCAATATCGGCTTGCACATATCATGCAAGCCGATATTGACGACTTTCTTGATCCGATAATTAAATTAAACGTAGACCTAGACAAAGTTTAGAGTTGGTCAAGTTCTCATGGAGTTTTGGTCAATCCCTCGAAACGCCAAGCTATACTTGTTGGTAGTTCAAGAATGCTGACAAAAATTGATTGTTTTTTTGTACCTCCTATATAATACAATAATTCCGTTTTCAATCAAATCAAATATATATTATAAATCTATGTCTGCTTATTGACAATACTTTGAACTGGAGTGTATATGTTACCGAAATAAGCCGAACTGGTACTGCCACCTTACGTTCTCTTTATCATCTGAAAAATTTCCTGCCTTTTAAAACTAAACTAAACGAAATCTACATAATTGAGTGCAACGTTCAGGTATTTTACTAATCCTTTACCTGCTTTGTAACAACCGCAATCACAAGATTTAAGAAAGCTTAAGAGAGAGAGAGAATAGGGGTGCTACTAAACTAAAAAAAATACATAATTATTTCGGTAAGCGGCTTACAATAAAGCGTTCTTATTTTTGAAACTATACAAATTTGCTGTATATATGTATTAAAATAAACCAAAACTGCTTTATTACGAAATCTAATCTCTTTTAAATGAGCAGTTATTTAAGAGCAGTTGTTGACATCCAAGTTCTGATTTTTTTCTTGGAGGCCAATGCCTGCAGCAAGTTGTGGTCTAATTTATAAGTTATCGTCAAAAAACATTGTGCTATTATTTTGTAGAAATTATTATGATAACATCAAAGTTAATTTATTCAATGCAATTATAAATTAATTGCGTTTTTTTAATCAAAATTAATTTTCGAAAACTTCACTGAAATTTCTTCTATATTTGCTTTAAATGTCATCATAAGACAAAAGTATTGAGCGACAAGGATGACTCCGTGGTGAAGTTGCCAAGGCTTCGGTGCCGGGGATCATCATCATCGATTACCACACGGTACAACTATTTGTTTTACTCACAGATAATTATTTCAGATCTGGGTGTTTGTCCACGTGAAATTTATCTACGTAAATTGTCCCTACAACAGGATAATGTTATCCTGCGGTAAGGGCAATGGTTTTTTTTAAAAGAAAACAAAAGTAAAAAAAATACTGCACGCACAAACTGATAAGATCTGAACAGAAACAATTATTATGTAAACTACGTTAAATTATGGCATTAAACAGACAAAATCTGTACAAACTTACACTGACCTTACTACCTTACTACTAACTTACTTGTTGACCTCACTCATGAGACAAACCACTAAAGTATGATACTTCTACTTCACGCTGGTTTGTATAACAACGTTACGTCACTCTACCACGTCATAACTCTCTGCCTGTGGCCACTTTACTGTTTATTGCAAACAGCAAGTCACGTCCGAACATTTTTTAATCTGGATAATCGTACACCCATATAAGTATCACACTATTATACAATCCCAACTTATTCTTTTAACTTAAACCACACACCCAATGATCGTTATGCAAAGAATAACGTAACGCCGACATGTATCGGTCAAAAATGCGGCTCGCTATCCCTGACCTTAAATCTGGGCCAGTTCTCGGCGCACTGTTCACAATGAATCGAACGCCTTTTTTAAGCATACTTATTAATTTCGTACATTCATAATTATTTGCATGTTGTTTTTTAGGTTGCACTATTTCTGCTACCGTACATTAAGCTTTAACGCTACTAAACAACATAAAATATATGATAATCAAACCTATGCACGTACAATATTCTTTAAGCAAAAACAAAGTTCTGTCTGGGCTGCCAAACAGGTTTTCTTTTGTAGACTAGTTTTCTGCTATCTACAGCGGAAATAATAGTATTTTGGTTGTAGAAAAAGTACAAGCGATTCATCTTTATTCACTCGAGTCAATGACCGGTAGTGCACGTTTTTTTTATTTAAATAATTTATTTCACACTTTTCTGTTATCTCATATATGCATAAGTTTTGACTGTGTATATGCCGCAATGGTTTAGGTGATCACCTTACCTACTGTCATTGCGTGCTGTGTTTAATGTTTATTTCCTAAACGGAAAACTAATTTTCTGCAGTGTATAAATGGTTACTTCAAATCGATTTGTATTTTTAGTTCTTATTTCATGTTTGTGATATGAAAATTATTTCCGATTACTGGAGTTTTTTTAGTAAGAAGGAAATTGTGAACTGTCTGATTGTATGATATTCTTGTAGAAAAGAAGAACACGTAATATAGTTCATTCAAAAACTCAGAAGATGCAAGCGTTAAGTGACCGAGGCATTTAAACGAATGTTTCAAATTACGTAGGTAATGGCTAATTTTATTAGCTTACCTTTCCAATACAATTACATAAAATGTTCTTACCGTAAGTTTATTTTTGGAAATATTTAAAAGTACCGAGTTTGTTACGTAACTGATAAACATTTCTTTGGATGCTTTCATTTAAAAGGTGTATGTTTCAATAAAACAATGATAACATGAATTTTATTATTTTCTAATCTAGTTCCGAGTTTGTTTACTTTACATAACTGCTTCTGCGGTGATTTGAAGAAATTAACAAAATTAACTGGTAAGTTTTGTTTATTTACGTCGATTCTAATGATCTATTTATTTTAATGATATCCCCTACAAATATCCAGAACAATTGTCATTTATTAGTTATAACTGTTGGATCAAAGTGTGCAAGAAGTGTGGACTGGAGCCGTAGCGGGCAGGAGCAGAGTTGCTCACGATGGTGTTGAAGCCGTTGTGGTTATCAGCAGAGTATTGTACTGTGCGCACTGAGCCATCGGCAACGGTATTCGCCGTGAACGACGTCACCGTCGCGGCTATCATGCTGGAACTTGTTGTCAGTGTATCGTCGGCCAGAGATGAGACACATCCATATCTGGCGTAAGATTACAGTACTGTTTAGAATATTATTATTCAAGCTTTCAAAATTTTTTATTTTACGGGAATTAAGATAGGTAAACTTAGGCATTCCTCTCGTTAGGTTATTATATTAGGTATTTTAGGTATTAGTATTGATGAATGTAGACATTTTTATATTGTTAAAATATCGGTAATATTATTATTGGACTTAAAAATGTGAAGGGAGCGATCAAGATTTCACTGACCGTCACGACCAATTATGTCAACAGGTGAAAGACATTAAAAAATTGAGAATTAAACTTGGTATATTTCAAGTTTATACAGTCACTAGCGGACCGGGCAGAAGTTGTCCCGAACACACACGAAAAAATTGTGGATCTAAACCATTCTCGAATCGACCTGAAAACACTAAATTCCAAAATTTCATTAAAATCAGTCCAGCCGCTTAGTAGGAATTCAGTGACGTACACACGTATAAATATATATATAGAAAATACAAATTATTTTGTCTGTGTATAAGGACTTCTATTTAGAGAGAAACTTGTGTCAGTTGCTGTGTATTAAAGATATAAAATCGCTTAAGGCGTTTAATAGTCTTTTTAACCGCGTTTTTAGTCTACTTTGTCATCTGATTGAGAAAAGATTATTATTGTAAGTATATGTTAAAGCATTTGCAGCTTATCTTGTCTACCAGAGCCGTTGCATTATTTACACCAGTCCGCCATTATCAGATCAAAAATATGTCATTTACTGTGTATTTGTAATAAATACAATTTAATAGGTAGAGGTGTAAATCAATTATTGCAAACATATAGATCATTGACATAAATTTAAGTTTCGCTAATATCCGAATTTATTACCGTCCTTACTAATATTATAAAGGCGAAAGTTTGTATGTATGGATGGATGTTAGTTACTCTTTCATGCAAATACTACTGAATGGGTTTTGATGAAACTTTACAATAATATAGCTTATACATCAGAATAACACATAAGCTATAATTAAGATACAAATTTTTATGTTTATCTGTCTTTCTGTCTGAATGTTACATGCCTTCAGCCTATTATACGCAGACAGTCGCGGGCAGCAGCTAGTTTATCATAAGCGTATCAGCGGATATTGACTCACTCGTTTTGACTAACTTAGTTTTTCCCATAGAAATGTAGTTGTCTTAAATAAAGACGAGTTCTGGGCACGTTCTAACTTTTAAAAATTTGTAACAATTATAGTGGTGATACATACATTTGTAAATGCATTTCTTACCTGGACACCTATTTCGTAGGTTGCCCTAAACATTTTTTTATGTCAAAAGTTGCCAAGCGAGCAGACGGTTCACCTGATGTTAAGTGATATTACATTTTACACTACTTGACTTTTTTTAACGCGTTGAAATCCACTTGGTCTCTCCGTATGGGGACGACTGGATTATGTTGGACGCACACAGACTTAAAATTGACTGTGATTGCGATTTGCTACGATGAAGTAATTACTCATATTTGAACCCAAGAGTACGGAATTAATATTCATTTTGTCCGGACGTTAAGATGATGAATTAAGGATATTTGCTGGAGATTAGTAGTGGTTCGACATATTCAACAATACCACAACCAGTATCCCTTAATTAACATTAATAGATTTTTTTCTGTTTATATTATTATTACGCGTTATGGTGACTAAGCTCGAGGGCTCCCGAGGGAGCCTCGGCTCGGGCCGTGACGCTAATATTATCACCGGTTTGGGAGGCCGCCAAGCTCTTAGGGCGCTTTGGCGGAAGTTCCATGGAGTGACCAGGCTCAAGGATCGGCCTCGGTTTGGGCTGTCACTCAATACGCGTTTAGCATTCCGATTTGAGGGTGCCCGAGTGGGCCGGACCTCGGCGTGATCGGTAGCTATTGTCTGACTGGACCACCACGATACGCTAACAAGAATTTTATGTCTTTTATATTGCAAAAGTTCCTTGTATTGTTGTCCACTCGATTTTCAATAGCATTCATCGAATATCGGCTGCTTGTCTCTGTCTTTCTCGAAGTATAAGTCCTCCTTAGAACAGATTTAAAGATTTAGTTCTCACTCAACATATAAATATACATGCAATACATAATTTAATATTGGAAATTACCACTTGTACATTAAATTTTATTTTCTTTCCTAATATTTTAGTCATTAATATTCAGTTGTTAATAAATAAGAGAATTTTTCTATGAAAAGAATCTCCCCAACGGCTTTTCGACCCGACGACCTTGCTACCATCGAAACTTTATCGGTATAAAAGTCTCTCCAAGAATGTTCGATTTGTCAGTTGACTTTTATTCTTATAGAAACATGTTCTCAAACGTGAGTGAACTGTATACATAAAATATTTTCAACGTTTAAAAAGTAACAAGATTTTTGGGATAATCTATTAAATTATAGTTAAACAAAGATAAAGTTATAAATGCAGAATTTATAATTTTTACCTTTTGAAAATCAATTATTGGAAACGTGGAAATAAAAACACTTGTTTTAAAGATATGGCAATATTCACAGGTCTTAGCTTTGAGCGCCGTATTGGCTGTGTCTGCGGCAGGTCTCTTGCCCCAGCCTCACTACTCATCGGCCGCAGCCGTTTCCTCCCAGAGCATCGTGCGACACGACCAGCCCCAGGCTATCCACGC